TGCACAACTCAACCTGGAGGATGCCGCCGAGAAAACGAAGATCGGAAATGCGATCGGAATTTTGTGAACCTTGCGACGAAAACTTTCAATCTTCTGTGTCACAATATGCTATGCACCAAGAGTCTTTATGTAAAGTGAGCGATTATGAAATTTCACCAAACTCAAAATGTAATTTGCCTGAAGTGTGTTGTTGTGATAGTAGAGGTAGAGCTATTTATTGGCTTTACAGACATAATTTGGCGGATGGTGAATGTGTTCGACAAGTAATGAGTTCAAATACACATAATTCTTGTGATGCTGGTACAAATTTTCCATTGGACGAAGAATGTCGGTTTAATAAGCAAAAAAAATTTACTAATCATCAAAATTTTCGAAAACAATTCATAAAATTAACAGATATGTTCGTAAATGAACAAAATTCTGATATTAGAATAACGGAAACTCATAATAGTTATATAAACCTTGGTGATATAGAAACGTTACATATCTTATTAAGCGAACAAAATGTGTGTAGAGATAAATACCACAATTTAATGATGAATTTAGAAATGAAACAAGAATTGCTTGAAGATATGCGGAAAGATCAAATTAAAACTTCGAACTCAAAAGATTTTACAAACAAATTAGATAAACTCTTCAGTATTCATTCTTTGTATGAATCTAATATTTTGTCTGCGGGGGGGATTGAAATGAACGATTTGGATCATATTTTAAACCAACTCAATTTTTTCATTAAATCAAATAAATTAAACAACATCTCAAAAAGTCAAAAAGAACAACTTGCTAAGTATCTTAAAGTTATCTCGGAAGAATACGTAGAAAATCATCAACGTGACAAATTCAAAACTAATCAAAAACTTAACAACGATCATAAGTTTGAATCTTCAAAGCCCAGCGTTTTGGAATTAAAGAGGATGCCATTTGTCGATTCTGTAAGTGAAGTAGATGTGGATTCTTTTAATACTAACAATTTAAAAAAGAATCAAGCATCAAATACGGTGCTTGAAAGAAAAATGAGCCATCATCGTTATAAAAAAGCAAGAGTGGGATCGGTTGGTTCGCTCGTTGATAAGAGACGTAAAAGCTTTGAGAAATTAGGTGCAGCAAAAAAATGTTTTAGCACCGAAATGAAAAAATCACCAGAAAAAGAAATAAATAAAAAAGAACGTGATAAAAGTCGATCAACAAGGAGGTCTAAATCTGAAAAGAAGCGAACTGACGAAGAAAAAGATAAAGACCAAACAAGAAAATCTAATTTAGAGCGAATTCAACACTTATTAGAAGAACACGAATTGGAAAGATTAAAATCGCAAGAAAGAGAGAAAGAAATTGAAATACTTAAAGAATTACTCAAAGAAAAAGAACGAAGAATCGCGGAAGAAGACGTCAAAGAAAAACAAATTATTAAAGAACTTTTACGCGAAAGGCAAAAAAGAAAAGCTGAAGAACACGAAGAGAGGATTATACTCAAAGAAATTTTAAAAGAACGGGAAAAATATAAACTTGAAGAGATTGAAATTGAGCGGCAAAGATTAAAAAATTTAATTAAAGAAAAAGATGACAATGTTTTAGAAGAAAAACTTAAAGAAAAATCGAGGCGAAGAAGAAGAGAAGAAAAAAAGAAAGATGTTGATAAAGATGAGAAAAAAATCGAGAAAGAATTAAAAAGATCTAATGAAAAAGAAATCAAAAAAACTAAAAGTGTTGAGAAGATTAAGAAGAAAGGGAGTAAAAATAATTTAAAAGATGATGATAAAGAAAATAGCAACGAAAAAGATAATAATAAAAAAGAAGAAATACATGAAATTAATAAAAATAATAAAAATAAGATTAAAGTTGAGTCAAGAAAGCGAAAATCACATCATAAAGACAACGATAAAGATGATTACAAAGATGATAATAAAGATGATTATAAAGATAATAATAATGATGATAATAAAGACGATTATAAAGTTGGTAATAAAGATGGTAATAAAAATGAATATAAAGATAACCATAAAAATCAAGAAAAAGACAAACACAAAGTACCTAAATATGCAACGTGTCTTACAATTCCTACTGATTGTAGTAAAACAAAAATTTTTAAAGATTTCGAATCGTTAGAACAAATCCCTGAAGAAGAAACATTAAGAGATGCTTATGAAGATAATAAATCGAAAAGAAAAGTATTAAAAATTAATCGTAGTTTAACCGCTTTTCACTCATTAATTGAAATAGTTGAGAATGATTCAAAGAAAAAAAATAATGCGAAATTTAAAGAAACATCAACGATGGTTGACTATAATTTAGGAAAAAGTGAAATTGGGATAACCGCCAAACCACCTCAATTAAATCAATTTACGTTTCCAATCGAACATTCTGATTTGTTTACTAATATAAATGAAGATTCAAGGAGATTAATGGAAAAAGGGGTGCAAATTCCGTCCGATAAAGAAAAATCAATTTTTAGTCAATTTGTTGATAATACTTTTAGTGATCAAAACTTTGTTAATCATCAATGTTTATCAAAATGTTCGTTGTTTTATGAATCCCCATCAAAAAATAAATTGAATTTACCTAACTTATATAACACACCAATAACACCTGATACTGTTAACGACGAATTAGGAACTGATGATATTAGATCTTTACCAACAACATCTTGTTATAGCAATCATGCTGTTTCAATACAAGACAGTTTATTACGTTTAGATGATTTGGATGAAAGTTTACTCGATGATTCACCGAAAATAAGTCAAGATAATTTATTGGGATTAAATGAAAAAGTTGATGAATTAGATCAAGATGTGAACAAGAACGACGAAAAAGATATTTCCGATATATTAAATTTTTGCAACAATGGCATTCCTATTTATAAAGATGGTTATGAAATCGCTAGAATCACGAATCAAACTTCTAGTTGTTTCTCAACCTTTAAAAGGTACGCTAGAGCTAATAATAAAGCAACTAAAGCTACCCAAATGTTTGAACATGTTACACCGAATGATTTATACACATTAAAATGGGTTCATGATAATTTATTTGAAGTCGATATCAATCCACATACTCTTATTATCGATGAAAAAATTAAAGAATTAAGTGAAATGAGTGATGTATCATAAAAAAAAATTTTTTTGTAGCTGACATTTAAAATGTTTTTTTTTGTAGATTAATTTTTGTAGTTAAAAGTATTCATTGATGAATAAAATTTTTTAAAGCGGGTTTAAAGTCACCTATTAGTCGACGTCTTACATGAGGTTAAAGGTCGTCATAAACAAACTGTCTACAATTTACTATTGAAGTTTTACTGGGTTTATTGACATCGAAGATTTCTTTAGAATTGAACTTGGCTATTAGTTCCACGGCATAGAAAGATATTATGTGCTTATTTACATTGATAAATCGGGTTACTTTAATTATCAGGTAATTAATATCAGTTAAAATATGGGCAAGTTTCTAATTAACACAGCTAATGTGTTGTTGTTATTTTGATCTTAGAAGATACGATTTTCACCAGTTCAATAATCGTTTTAATCTGTTAAATTAATGTTAATGTAGCCATTTTTATATACGGAGACAAACGTTTCAGTTGTATCATTTATGACATCATTGTGATAGGTTTAAATCTTTATGATCGTTATTTCTATCCGGTAGTTTTTTTCTCTTATTAGAGGAGACTACTGGCCAAGAGTATGTTTTTGGCTCTTAAATACTGCCAATTCGCAATACAACCTCGATGGGTAATAATTTGTTCCAACTTACTATTGTTATTAGATATAATAGTATGTATTAGTAGTAAATGACAAGGGAAGTATTTTGGCAACCTTTGTAAAGAGCAAAATTTTTGATTTTAAAGGCTTCATTCTAAGGCAGGCAGGAACCAAATGATTTGGTTTCAGACCACAGCTGCAAATGAAGTCTTTCAGTTTTTAGAATTTTTGCAATTATCGCGTTGAAGATCTAAATCCATGAAATAAATATAGATGGGGAATGCAAGATGAGTATTAAGTATCTTATACAGATTTTTTTCATGAATCTGATTAATTTGATTAACATAATCCGTAGGAATGTAGATTGACCAGGCGTAAGAGCTTCCTTAATTGATTTTTCTATCATAGAATAAATATAATCCCCTTTATTTTCTAAGTATGCCCTTATGAAAAAATTAAACGTTATCGATTTTAGTTGAAATTTTTGTGCTATATACGGATTGTTTTATGGTCTTCTTTCCTTTGTTGATCGTGTTACATATCCAAATAGAGTAAAATTTCTCTTTAGCTTCTAAATAAGTTAAAACGCAAGATCTCACATATTTTATGTCTTGATTGCTTTGCTTTTCATTCCAATAAAACGCTTTTTGCTTTGATTGGATTGAAGTTCGTTTAATGTAAAGTTGTAGCCATATCCCCAATCTTCGGGATTAAGGCCAAGAAAAACCTTTTCAATTTTTACAAAATAAACGCGTAAAAAACTGAATGGTCTCAAAAAACAGCAGATTTATAAGTAATTTACAAAAAAATCGACCTTTGATTCATGTAAACTGTTAAGTGATACAAAAATCGATGGGGACTTGTCATATTTATCACCTTTTTAGAAATATTTCAGAAATTATCGATACCTCATTATTTTTTCATTTCCATGTAACAATAATGATTAAAATCGAAACAACAATTTAAATGGAATTTCATTTCATTTCGCATTTGAGTTCTCGAAATTCTCAAGTACACCGCTCTCTGGCAAATATCGAACGGCGGTTTCCCTCCGACTCAACCCAACCCAATTCATCGAGCTAGGTTTACACCACTTCATTCTCCCAAAGTGCAGTTCAGCCCTTTCATTGAAGAACCGAGACCTGCCACTAACCATCCCCTTTTGTTCTATACGATTTGACACTTATCGATTGTACATCCAACAACATCATCAAAGCATCACCATCAATCACAACACTAAAACAAAATTTTTTTATTAAAACAATTTAAAAATAAATAAAATTTTAATTTATGTGTTTAATTGTTTTCCAGCGGGTGGTAGAGGTGAAAATGATCTTGAATCTCGAAGTACTCGAAGTAGGAATCCAAGGAGAGATGATCCTCGTAGACATACTTTAGGTGGAGATCAACAATACATGGGTAGTCAAGGTGGACCCCTTTCCCGAACGATGGATCTCGAGGTAATTTTTGTTTCAAAAATAATAATTTTAACCGAGTTGTTGTGACATCACCACAGTCAATTAAAACTGCAAAAAAAATGTTAGTAAACAGTCGAGATGAGAACGGACGTTAAGTAAACTAATTGATTCAGTCTATTTCCATCACTTCGTGCCAAACGATGAGTTCCATCAGCACAAACTCTCTCAATATTTTACGTGGTTCTTTCTCTAGCGACTGTTTAAACGTAAATCCTAGCGTGTTACAACGCGAAGGGAGGACATTGATTAAGTTGGCTGAAAACTCGTTTCCGCTCGACGTTGATAAACCTGTTAATTTGAAAATTATGTTGTTGCACGCTGCCAATCAACAGATGACTTCATCGAGATCCAGAAAGGTTAAAAAAAATTTCTTTGTTTTAATCAAAATTATTACATTTTTAATCTTTCAACAGGGCCAACCAAGATGTTATCCCCCTCCAACCAATCCAATGCTTTTCGATGATGATCCAGGGATTATGTCAGAGGTAGAGACAAGTTCAACAGGGTTTAGAAGAGGTGGAAAACAAAGAAGTTCTCTTCCGGTTGTTAGAACACCAAGTAAAACATTAGAAAGACCACTTGGTTAGTAAAAATGATTTTGAATTGAAAATTATCTTATTTCTGCAACTTTAGGTCTAGTATTTCTACAATATCGCAACGAAACCAAAAGGGCACTACTTCCAAACGAAATCACCTCGATCGATACAGTTAAAGCCCTATTCGTACGTTCATTCCAAAAACAACTTACGATGGAGTACCTGGATTCACCGCAAGTGAAAATTTACATTCACGACTCTTCCAAAGATATGTTTTATGAATTAGAAGATTTAAGGTAAATCAAAAATATTACAATTATTAATTAAAATTTAAGATTCAAGTATCCAATTATTTATGTTTTAAGCATTCGATGTGTAATGCCATATTTAGAACATTTATTTTGGACTTTTTTGTATCAGACTGCAATACGTTTGGTTTTTCTGTCTAATGAGGAAGTGATTCTGAGCATCAAAACGTTTTCCAAAGATGCAGATCTTCGACATTATCAACAGTTACTACTCGAGGAGAAATGTTTATGTCTTTTATTGACTTTTTTGATGAAAATGATGTAGATGGGAAGAAATGAGTTCATGTAGATACATATTTTTGGTTACTCATTATAACTATAATCAATTTTAAAGTTTTTCAATTATTATTATGTAATTATGCATCGTCTCAACGACAATAGTTTGGTTTCCACAAATTAATTTCATAATTAAATATCAGTAGGTTGCATCACCAAATTCTTTCTGTAGAATTCTCGATTTAGTTTTCCCAAATTTAAAGTAAGTAGGTTTTCTGCTTTTGAAGACTCGGGAAATTGAAAAACTATTTTATGTGGAAAAATTTCTAAGAACATAAAACTTTAAGTGTAAAAATGTTAGTCTTTAAATAAGTTTTCATCGGAAGCTCAGTTTGAACTCCACCCGTTTGGAAAAGAATTTTTCAGCAGCGAGTGGTCGTATGAACAAATTTTATTTGAATTATAGTTTTCTTTTAACGCAACTTTTATATTACTAAGTTATTATATTACCAACCTCAACCAACACAACATAATTTAAAACATTTTTAAGAAACTTGTGTCTTAGCACCACTTTTAAACAACTTTATTTCTTAGAATATGTTCTTCTATAACAAAGAAATCTAAATATGTATATTAAATAATTGGATGGATAAAATAAGATATGAGTCTCATAGTGTTTATAAATCTTTAATCTTTTCAAATATTTTTATAGATCCCACTTGAGAGAAATTCGAGATAGATCAGTTTTAAGATTATTTGAATCTGCTGATGTTTCCGGTGGACTTCCAATGGCTGGAATTGGAATAGCTGGCGGTGTTGGACATTTCGAAGATCCCAGTTATTTCTCAGAACCGGAATTTGATTCGGAGTATCAACATCAGCACATCCACAAAAGCAAGGTAGGAATATTTTAAAACCCCCGCATCCTCCACCATTTTTTGAAAAAAGTTTTCAATAAAATAACAAAAATAAATTTAAACTAAAAACTTCTTTATTGCTTTTTTGTGTTATTTATTATTTAAGAGATATATAAAAAAACAGCGGAAGTAAGATATAAAAGACGCAATAATAGTTAAGAGAAAATAAGAAAGTAAAAGATTTTTTTCTTATTTAAATAAAAAAATATAAATACTAAGTGATAACAAAAAAAAACTATCTTATATTTTAAAATAATCTACACTGTGGCACTGCGGGTGTATAAAAAGCACCGGAATAAAGCTTCTTTGGTACCGTTCTCCATCCGAAAACGAGAGCTTTTCCGAATGGCTCCTCATCGCAACCCGTGCAAATATTCATAACAGCTTTAACTTCAGCTTCGGCGGGTTCCCTCTCCTCCATTTCCCTCTGTTTCTGTAAAATCGGTTCGTTTTGTCCGATTCCGGCTAAACCATCCAATAAAGCGTGATTATAATTCCCAGATATTAAACCATCATCCAACAAATGACCATTAGACAATATCAATTCCCTCTTTTTATGTTTCTTATCCTCTTCTTCATTATCCCGCTTAAAGATTTGATGCGATTCAAATTTAGCATCCACAATTTGTACGTTAGCCGGGTTAACTAAAGAAGGATGAACTAATCCACTGTTAATTAACGGAGTTGGTCTTCTAAATCTTATAGATTGTTGCGAAATTGCGTTCGCTTGGTCTGGGATGAGATTAAACGGTTGAATTGGTGATGGAGGTTGAATCGAAGGGCGGAAAGTTTGCGGTCCATCTTGACCAAACCTAAATCCACCTTGGGAAAGTTGTTGACTTGTTAATGGATTTACAAATTGACCGTTTAATAATTGGGCATCATAACTTTGTCCTGGTACAATTAGCGGTTGAGGTGTCGGATTTGTTTGTTGAACGGCTAAATTTAAAGCTACATTAGGATTTAATTGTCCACCGGTTAAGAGTGGATGAGTTGGCTGTGTTGGTCTTGGCATAGGAGGTGGAGTTGGTGTGGTTGTTAATAGAACTCCGTTATGGTCATATTCGTGTGCGTGATGATGTTTATGGTCTTTGTGTGCTTTTCCAGCTGTTAAAGCCACTTTGTAGAGTTGAACCATTGTTACTTCACCTAAGATTCCTCCTTGACCTTAAAACAAAATATATATCATAAATACGATTTTTGGTGATCTCTAATTTGTACCTTTATCATCAGTAAAACCACCTCCATATTGAGTTTGTTCTTGTCCTGTTATTGCGATACCACCAGATGGAATTGGATGGCCAACCAACTAAAAATAATTAAGAAATGTTTCATTTTATAAATTTAATTTGATGGAAGTTTTAATTGAAGGTGAAAGTGGAAATATTTTTATTTAAAAATTTCGAATTATTACTAAATTGTACTGTTACAGTTCTTGGAACAGTCATGCGTAAAAACCGGATATGTTCTAGAATAGAAAATGTATTAAAATTTGTTACCCGATTATGAAATCCTCTTCCTACTCTTTCAGCGTTAACCCAAATTTGCCACTCTCCTGTTCTTCCATTCCAACTTTGACAAGTGTGATACCATCTATTTAATCTCAAAGGATAATTGAGTCGGTACATTGTGTGTCCATCCACTGATAAACTATAATAACTTGATCGTTCTGTATTGGACACCCATGAGTAAATTGCTCTAGGTCTTCCATCGACTATGATAAAACAAAGAAAAAGTTTTATTTTTATTTCTTTTATAAATAAGATTAAAAAAATATAAGCTGAAAAGATTAAAATTTGAAGCTTGAGTGATTTCATGGCATTAACCTTCTCCTTGACCAAGACCATTCGACGGTGTCAAAGAAAGTAAAACGCTATGCTCCAGCTTATGGCAATTATATGACTCATTAATTCACCGTTCGCCGTTGTAAATTTCTCTTCCGCATGTCTCCGCAATTACCATACGAACATTTATTTATATCAATATAGAACTTACCCGCATAAGAAAATATTGGATGGTCGTTACTATGATTAGCAAACTTATTCCAATAACACAAAGTGAACTCTTTCATTTCAGGCATATCAATTTTATACTGGATATATTGAAAATACAAATCTTGAGTAAAACCAACTTTGTAAATAGTACATTGTTCTTCGGACGATGATTGTTGATATCTTTGAGCGACTAAACTTGGATAATTTAATGATGGGCTCGATGGTAATTCGTGCTTCGAATATATTTCGTCTGAATCTAATCCATCTAAGTATGGTTGCCACGTCAAATTTTCCACTTCGTTTAATATTAATAGGAAAATGAAAAGTAAAAATCTTTTCATTTTGAGCTGAAACAAATGTTTTAATTATTCATAAAATTGGTGGCATTAAAATTAATAATTCATAAATTTATGAATTCCAGCAGCAATTTGAATTAATTATTTATTCTCTTTTTAATGCACTGATAAAAAGATCCATAATTGTCAAAAATTAAAAAGAATTGAGTTAAAATTTAAATATAAAACATTGTGCAAATAGAAAAGGTTTTTGAAGATAAAAATGTGACAAATAATATTGCAAAATATGGAGATTTAAATATAAAAGTGAAATTGTTACTAAATTTGGGATAAAACAGTTCCGATTGATCAAACCAAAAAAGCTTTTTGCTGTTGTTAAAGGTTATTACGTTTTAGAGAATTAAACTGGAAGCACGAAATTAAAAAGTATGGTAATTACAATAAATAATACAAAATTGCTCCCAAAATTGATATAAAAATGTTTTAAGTAAGCAAATAAAGTACACAAAATCATTAAATATAAAGGTTTTTTGGAGTTATAAAAATTCATAACTTTTTAGAGAATCGAATTGGAATGATAAAATGTTCAGGAATTATATTAAAAGCAATGTAGATACTTATAAAAATTGCAACATTGCTATCAACACTAAGCCAAAAAACTTGTTAGGGTTCAAATCAAAAAATTCACGAATTTATCAAATATAAAGGTTTTGGGGTTATACAAATTCATAACTTTATAGAGAATCGAGTTGTAGTGATGAAATTTTCAGAAATTGTATTAAAAATAATGTAGATATGGAGAAGAATTGTTACCAACGCCAATTCAAAAAATTTCTGAGCGTCCAAATTAAAAAATACACAAAGGCCTAAAATATAAAGGTTTTTGGGGTTATAGAAATTCATAACTTTTGGAGAATCGAGTTGAAATCATAAAATTTTCAGGAATTATGTTAAAAACAATATAGAATAAAAAAATGCGAAAAGCTGTTAGAAAAACTTTGTTAAAAACGTTCTGGGTCATTTAATAAATTAATTAATTTATTATTTAGAAAAATAAAAAATAAATATCCCATAAATTATCTTAAAATGCAATGCAGTTTACGAAATATCATTTTTCATTTAATTATAATGAACAATTAAAACGGTATTTTCATGATTGCAGTTGCACTCTTTCAGTTGTGATAATTGAGCAAATTAAAAATAATTGCTGGTCGTGGGCGTTTGATTTTTCCGTTTTAAAATCGCGCTCCAATTAAATGTCGTATTACTAAAATGCTAACGCCAAGAGTCTCGTCAACTCGATGACGAATAACTCAGCAATTTAAATACCATTTTTGTAAAACCGCACAAAAAAACGTACAGGATTCAAGGGAATACCGGTGTTAAAAACCTTTCACTTATTGTTGTGTTGTTCAGAAACACCCACGGTATGTTGTTTTCACTTTTAATTTTTATTTTGGTTGTTATAGAAACAGAAAGTAAAATTTGTAATAGAAAGTAAAATTTAGAAAATGTAGTGTTTCCTAAATGAATAAAATAGACATTAATATAATGTAATTGCATAATACCCAGAGTTGTAACAAACACTGATTTATTTCGAAATTTTAAAAATATTTTTCAATCTCATTTTCAACAAATTGTCAATCAAGTATCAACGAAAGCGTTAAAGCACCCAACCTTCAAAGCCGACTAAAAATTGCAATTTCTTTATAAGATTAAAATTGAAATCGACTTTCAACAAATTTCAAGTCGTCAATTCAAATTATTTTTTATTTAATTATTCGTTAACATCGACCCAAATACCTTTTTTGATATAATAGTATAAAGTTACAAAACTTGGCGTATCTAACGAGTTCTTCAAAAGCCGCGTTATGACGATACGAGTCTGAAAAGAAATCGAGCCCAACGAACCACTCCAGTTACGTAAAGGTTACAATTTCGACTCGTTATTGTTGGGTTTCTTGGGTTAAACCGAAAGTATTCCTTTTTCAGTTGCGCAAATCGTTGAATTTTGTTGCACAAGGGGAATTTAAACTCGGTAAGGTATAACTGCCTTGTCACGAACACCGTCGATACGAATATACAAGAAAGGTAACGACTAATCGTTTTAGAATTGATGCAGTTTAGCGCCTCAGGAAAGAAAGAATTGCGAAAATTTGATTTTGACCCACTTTCAACTTAATTACAACTAGCCACCTTGTATATCTCCAATATGAGTGGAATGTCTGCCTCCATTCACTCATATCATTTTTTTTTCTTATTTCATTTGCGTCGATTAAAAGCAAATAAAAACGCACCATTTTGATCACATCAATTGCGTAAAGTTTAATGTTTTGGCTTTAAAATACTTTTCAAAAACCTTGAAATTTTAATTGATTAATTACTAAGTATGTAAAGAATGTTAATTTGTTTAATCCGTGAAACTGTTTAGAAGCTTTTAAATGTTTTAATGGTTGTTTCAAATAATTTTAGATAAAATTTTTTATAATGAGTGTTAATAATAATAAATTATTAAACATGCAATTTTATTTATTATAAATATGCTAATTTATTTTAAATTAAATGACTTAGTTTGAACTGGTCATTATATTATATTACATATTTAATTTGTCACAAGGCATTGTAATACAACATTTACCAAAAAATAAGGATATGATTTTTGATCTAATTATGTATGCTAAAAATGTCTCGACATAAAAGTCAAAAACTTTTTTCCCTGATACCCTTTTAAGTATCAGGGAAAAAAGTGGATAAAGATAATCAATAATAAACATCTAACACTATGATAATTATATCTTAGTTCTCCTTTTCTAGACTGTTTCAAATCGGGCATGGAAGAAAAATATAAACATAGCCAGAAATAGGGGAAAAAGAAAGAGATGTTGGGACTTTTTCTGAAAAATCGATTTTTGTTTGTTCTAGATCATTCTGATTGTTGTTCCAAAAAAACAGGTATTATCGGACAAAGCTTTACAAAGTTAAGTAAAAGTGGGATTGAACCTCGTTTAGACACCATACACCTAGTTGACAACAATCAACAAACGGCTATTGCTTTTCTGCTATTAAGTATTAATTATTTTCTGTTATAAATACAGACTTATTACATTTATAACAATTCATATAAAAACTTGGATGTCTTTATAACGGACACAATGTTTTAAGCAACAGACCCCATACAGAGAAAGAGATTATGACAATTGGTTCAATAAAATGGATTTTAGCAGAAGACATTCCATATACTTTTTAATAATATCAAATTTAATGTAAAGGCTCCTAATTTTCAAAACGCATATTCTTCAATTGCTTTAAAATTACTTTTTGCAACTTCTTCAATTGATATTTTTGCTAAAACATTACTGACTTGTCCAAAGATATTATGCAAGCGTATTCTGACCATGACCAGATAGTGTCAAGAAAATATAAGGTTGCGACATTTTATAAAACTTAAAAGTCGAAGGATATGAACTTCTGTAGAGTCTAACTCTATCTGCATTAAAAACTTGTTGATATGCAATTTGTAATAATGCTACATTCTTAGAACGTTCTACAGAATCAAATGCTGTAATCATGTTGTAATCAAATTAGCACAAAATTTCTGTTCCTTAACCTCAACAATATCATAGGAGACAAATTTAGTTCACTGGATTAATGCAGAAAGTCACGAAGAAGAAGGATGATGATGTGTGAGTTGAAGCTGAATGCAAAAGGAGTTTCTAAGTTTTATTATATTGGTGATATTGCAAAATTACAAATTCTACAATTAATTTATGGTATCCAGAAGATGTTCTGCAATGACCACTACTAAGGTAGATGTAGAAATTATGCACAAATTTGTTCGAAACTCTTTCATCAAAGTCAAACAAAAATGTGGCATATCTTTTACTGAATGTTTGTTATATAAATTGTTCTAAAACAAGACTGTAACACTAAAAAAGATTTTTAGCGATAAAGAAATATTGTTCTTGTTGAAAAAGTATTTCATAATCTAGATAAAAGAAATTTTAAGCATAATTTGGGTTCGGTTAAAACTGAATATTTAATTTAAAAAAAAAATTAGAAGAAGGAAAGGTTTCACAATCTAAAAATAAAGTTAAATCTTTTAATCTTATATAATAGACCTATCCCGAGAATAAAATCCGAACAACAATTTATTTAATTTCACTTTCTAACTAATTTTACATTAAATCAATTATCAATCAAAATTTTACTCAACTCTTCATAATTTACCGAAGAATTCCGATTTCTTTTTATCAAACTACCTAATAAAAGTGAAACTCTAATCATAAACCGAATAATTAATATCATCAATCCGTATTATTTATTTGTTAATTAAGTAAAAAAATAATTTAATTTTGGAGATTAATTTATTTATATTTATCCCATTAATCGCTCCAATTAAGATTTCGACTTTTTAGAAAGCTCTCTCGTTATAATAAACGAAATAAATCTGATTATTACAAAAAGAAAACAAATTAAAGAAGGTAAAAGTGAATCGCCGGAAGAACTAATTAATTGAAGTTCTCTTACGATGTGAAAACTAAAACTTTTTTCCATTATTATTATTATTATAAGACACTCACATACGCATTTAATTACATGCATGTACCTTTCTTTCCTTTTAAAGAAGAAGAGAGTGTAGGCGGAAAATTTCATTATCGATCAATTTAACTTTCATTTAAGTTATATTAATCGAAAAATTGAATGTTAAAATTATAAAAATTATAACTTACCTTAATTTAAATTCTTAAATCAAAGAAAATCCAAGTTTTTTCTTAAATAATTTCCTTTTTAGTTAAATTAAAAACTTGAAGTCACCAAAAAAAAATTATTTGAAATAAATTTATCAGCACCGAACTCGCACAGCTCAGCAAAACAACTGTCCGCCAATCCTTCAGAAACAAAGATCTATACGTGTATTTTCACCAGCATAGTCCGGAACTCGACGAAGAGACCACGGTGGGGTGTCCTATTACTTTCCCTTGGCTCTGGTCTTGTAGTACTCTATACTGTATTTATTATTACATCGATTAATAAGTATCCAATAACTAAGTATCCAATAAATAGGTATCACACCACGGATATCCAATACAAAAAAAAATCTAGAAAATACCAAGACATCGAATCCGTGTTAATAATCAAACAGTTTGTCGTTACATCTGTGTTGCGGTAAGGTTCTTGTGCAATGTTGAAACTCAGACGACGAGTTCTACCAGTTAACGGCAACAACTCGTCTTCTCCTTCCTTTAAAAAGAATTCGAGGATCAATCGGTCAGTAATACCACAATGAGAGGTTCACTAGAAATAAACGGGTTAATTACTAGTTTAGAAAACCTTATTGGTTTAAAATTATTTTTTTTTATGATCACTTTCTACAGCTTCCTTAGTTTCAGTTAATTAATTCAGGAAGTTATCCACTTCCGACCGCTTACTTATGAAGAAAACGTTCTTTGAAATATGACCACACCGAGAGTGAGACGTAAATGTGGTAATTTCTTCTTTGGATCAGGTTTTAATGGGATCGTCGGTCGTCCAGATTTTCTCTAAAAGAATTTTAACTTGGTCATTTTCCAAGCACTTTACAGCTTTAAAAATTTATGTGTTCTCGTTGTTATCCTTGAATTTATTATTCACTATCTAAAATAGATTATATATAATTTACAAATTTTTTAATAATCTCCATTTACCATTATTTAATCGCTTTATTGTTAATATTATTATTACTTTTAAATGACTGTGCAAAATTTGTTAAAACCTATTCAAAATGCAAATTACCTCGTTACAATCTTCTAAGTAATAAATATCTAATTCAAGGGCAAGATAATTAATTTTATTTCATTAAACTTTATACTTTTACCATTTTTTCTTTAGAATTCTTTGGTTAAAAATGTTCTTTTTGTAATTTTTTTATGTCATGGACCTCTATGCCTAAAGTTGGATTTAATTACATTGCGTGTACTTTTTTATAGGAGTTTTGCATAATTTTAAAATTATAATGAGTTATTTATGATTTTAGTTGCGGTGATGAAGTTATAAATTTTATTTTGAACATAAAGTACAGAATATGCGTATGATCTGTAAAAAGATTTGATTAACTTACTGTAACCAGATGATAGCAACACCAAACAATTAAAATTGCAATAAATAATAATAAGTCATAGAGAGCAAACAATCCTAAAATATTCGTTTGATGATTTGTATCAACCCATGATGTTCTATTTCTGCACAACACATTTCCTTCTGCACCTTTTCATAATATTGTTTCTACCAATAACAATTCCGTTTTGAGCATGACATTTTATTGCTATCTTAGTGTTATACAGCTTCATCTAATAATTTGGTTTTGCACAACATATTTTTTTATGCATTTGACATTCTTTACCATATACATTTATACTAGTAGACATGATGTACTCTTTTGCACCTGCCCATGATATTATTTATGCCCAAAATATTTTATATCATCCTGAACATAATAGTTTGTTTCTACTTGATTTGCTTTCGAGCAACACATTTTCTGTCTTCCTATGATATTTAGCTTTTACTAGGTGCGACGAACATTTCTACACCTGCCCATGATATTTTGTTTCTTCCAAGATATATTTCTTCTGCAATTAAGATTTCATCAAGATTTTTATCCAATCATTTTATTTAAATAATTCAAAATATTTCTTGAAAGTATTAAAAAGATATGTATTTCTTCACTTCACTGCTTAAAATGTAAAGCTGAGTATAATTTTGAAAACTTTGAAACGTTTTTACCACAATTACTTTCAACAAACTGAAATAAAATCTTAATTTATGAAAATAATATTTCAAAGCAACCTCAAAAAGGAATTATGTATTTAAATTACCTCAGACGTTTATAGTTTCCTTAAAGGGTCTTTAAAGAATGTGATACATTGTTCCATTTTCGACATACTAAAACGAAAAGGAAACGTTTATTCAGTTTCTCGCATTGTTGAAATGGTTGTTTTATTTCACAACTCTCCCGGAATTTTCGACGTGCAAACAAACCACATCGTAATTGCTGTGTTACTTTATGGTTTATAAAATAAACACTACAAAGCCAGTTTGAATAATTGAGGGTTTATTAATAAGAAGCTTATATTATACACAACTTACTCACACGTATTTGAATCAGAATTTACGACGAAATGCTATTTTGAAATAACTTGGTATTTTAAACTGAATCTAATTAAAAATAAATTGATATTTCTTCATAAAAAACCATAAATAGAGAATAGAATGAGAATAATATGAATCATTTTGTTTATGGAAATTCTTAACCTTTATACGTGTGCGTGTTCTTTTTGAGATTGACTCAGAATTTTATCGTTTAAAAAGTAAAAGTGATTTTTTTTTTGAAATAACCTAATAAAGAAACGTTGGTGAAAGTAAAAAGTTTCATTTTTATTTTATGACCTTTTTTATTTGTCTAACTTGTTAATCTAAATGATTGGCTTTTTAAATGATTTCATTGTTAAGAGCAATTCGCGACCTTGTCTTCTTGTGTAATTACACTTGTAATCGGTTAGATGAAATCGAAAGGCGTGACACAAAGTGCGGATGAATATAAAAGGAATCTTCAAGGATATCAACACACCAAGACCAATACAATTCATTCCATCACTTTTTTGAATTTAATCTTTTCCGGGTTGATTAAATTACCATTTTTATTTTGTTGTGTTTTTTGTTAATTACTATTAAGATTAGGATTTGTTGTATAAACGGGAATAAAAAAGAAATTTAGATGTTTTTGTTAAAAAAAAATTTTACGAAAGAGAAAAAAGTAAAAGTAAGTGGTATTCATGACGTGACGTGCGCGGAGAAAAGAAAACAGGTGGTCGTCGTTGAAGTGTTCTTCGATGCAGATTTGCATTTTAACCAGGCATCAACAACTAAACGTGCAACGCACATTTGAAAACTGGGAAGGATTATGACGGAATGTTAAAAGAGATACGAGTAAAAGTAAAGTTACAGTTAAATTAGAGATTTACTTTCTTGCGAAATCAGTAATGTTCCTTCATAGAATAAAAATCGACCGAAAAAATTAAAACCGATCCTATTTAATAAACACCCAAGGATTATAATGGAATGTTAAAAGATACGAGTAAAAGTAAAATTGTAATGAAATTGCAGGATTTATGTTGTTGAGTAATCCGTATATCGTTTTAAAGTTAACTGGTTCAATTATGGGTGAACCAGGAAAAGTTTAACACACAACTTTGATCGTGTGTGCACGCGCTTCCAAATGGCCATTCCACATTACTGCTAATAGGTAATGGGCACATAATATACTTAGAAAACTGGATTTTTTTCGCGTTACATAAGATTAACTTATGTAATCAGGAAATCAACTAACAAAAAAAGAACTTGAATTACTTTTTTGTATTCTTTTATGTTATTTAAAAAGAAAAATAAAATAAAACCTCGTTATAACGGATTAATACGGGGAAGGGAGTGTCCGCTATAGTCAAAACTTTGTTTTATGAACAATTTTAATGCACATACATTCGGACAGCTATCCATACCGTTACGTTAATCAAGGTGGCTTTATATTTATACCAAGGACTAGAAACTAAGAGGACTGCTACATCCCGAGAATAGGTGCACAGCTCGAAGGTCCGTTCGTGACGTCAACGTTGAATATGAATTGAAAGTAGAACTAACACTAGACCTAGTAATAGAAACATTCGGATTTAGCCGTACATCTCTTAAGATTTAGTTAGTTCTACTTTTAGTACAATAAAAATATACAACAATCTAATGCTGAATAACAACTAATACTAGTATTAGAACTAACACTAGACCTATAACTAGAAAAGTTTGGGTCTAGTCGTGCGTTTTCAGATACAATGTCTTGTGTTAGTTCTAGATTTAATTGTTACATTCGGGTTTAGCCGAACGTCTCTCAAGACGGCTAAACCCGAATGTTTCTAGTTTTAGGTATAGTGTTAGTTCTAGTAACAGTGCTGGCGTAAAACTAAAACTAACACTAGACCTAAAAAATATACAACAATCTAACGCTGAATAACAATTAAATCTAGAACTAACACAAGACATTGTATCTGAAAACGCACGACTAGACCCAAACTTTTCTAGTGCTAGGTCTAGTGTTAGTTCTAGTTTTACACTAGCACTGTTACTAGAACCAACATTATATGTAGAACTAGAATCATCACTCAAACTTAGGGAACACATACTTGGAAAAATTGATTTCAACCTCATACGAAAAAAAAGTATTGCCAAACTTTCATTAGTAGGCGTATCTGAAAGGAATTGGTGTTCTGTTCATAAGTAGTATTAGATACTTGTTTGTAGGTGATGATACATGGTGCGAGCAGTTGCAAGCTTGATGGCGACCTGATTCCCAAATATTCAGAACTCATCTTTTCCTGCCTCTTGAATTGTGTTGAGCTCAGAATGTTTATCGCTTCGTTTAATGCAGACGTAGTACACTAAAATTTACGCTCAAAAGATCAACTTGTGTAAGATATAACAGCTGGGTTGGGTTGGGTTGTATTGAATTGGGTTGGGTTGGGATGAGTTCAACTAGTTCTTTATGTTATTGTATTGCTGGAATATAATCACCTTTATTCTTTTCCTCTTCACCAAATGCAAGGGAATTAGATATTATAGCACAAAAGTTCCACAATATAAGGAATTTTCCACATTATGTTGATGCAATGGATATATTCTTCTAGGCTCCAGTAGGCTCTTTCAGAAACTGTCTTGAAGAGAGTACATTAATTCTGCCTCCAGCCCGTTATTCAGGTTTAGCCGTCTTAAGAGACGTGCGACGTGCGGCTAAACCCAAATGTTTCTAGTTCTAGTTTTACACTGACCTATCACTACAACTAACACTAGACCTAGAACTAGAAATATTCAGGTTTAGCCGAACGTCTTTTAAGACGGCTAAACCCGAATGTTTCTAGTTTTAGGTCTAGTGTTAGTTCTACTTGAATAACAATTATTACAGTATTAGAACTACTGTTCGCTATATCCGAAGTACGTTCTAATGAGATCCGTTATATCGATTTTTTACTGTAATAATAAAACTTAAAAACATCACGAAATAACTTTCGGTTTCCACTCGACTTCAACTTTGAAAGTGAAGAAATCTTAATTAATTTTGTTTGAATGTTTATAACTCTTTCAATAAAATACGAATTAATTTACTAAAGCTTATATAACAACTTAATTATAATTTTATTCACAATTTCAAAACAAAATTGTTAATGTCAGGCAAAAAGGTAATAATAAATTCACGTCGTAATGTAAAATGATATTTTGAATAATACATTAAATAATGCGAGGAAGTTCAATAAACGTCGGAAGGTGTGTCTTTTTGACACGCGATTTACGTAAGAACCGGTCGAAAGGCGCACTAAATAAATCCAAAACAACTTTCAAAACCGTCCCGGTGCGAATCAAACCGGGCGAATTTTAAACCCAAATTCTTTCCCGATTATGTTGCGTCTCACCTTCTTTTTGCACCGGGTGAAAGGCAAGTTCTCCCTTTTGGTTTGACTTTGATTTCGTAATATTATTTCATGCGGTTACCCTCAACTCTTTATGGAAAAATTATTTTAAATTGTCGTGTTGTTACTACATATAGCAATTAATGTCAACGTTATTAATACGAAAATTAATTATTATTGATTATGTTTTTTTTTCACCATAACTCATCTTCGATTTTATATTTCTCTTCTCTTAATTACAAATTAAAATTCAAATTGGTTCGATTTCCTTTTTTATAACAAAACCTTATTATCTCCAATACTTGTACCATGACCGGATTTAATTAGTTTCACTTTCTATATTCATCGATTTATTTGTTTAAACAATATAAATTAGGTGACCGGGTATATTTAACTTACATAAAAAAATATTCATTGAAACTCAATTGGTTTAACTTTTTTTTGTATCAAAAGTGATACAAATTGGAACTAGAGTTTATTTTCTCGATTTGATTTGAAAGCTTTACGACGTTAACCGACTCCATCTGTTAGATTTCTAGTTGTGTATTTCTCGAATCGGAAGCTGAAATGGGGCGACTTCTGCATTACCGGCATATTAAGGGGAAATTGAATTCTCGATTGGTTTAACGCTCCCCAAATCGAACGTAATTTCCTCGTCAATTTACTTCCCCCAATGTATCCTGCGAGTTTATAATAAAAAAAAATCATCACCAAAATAAAAATGTTATAAATTTTCAATTGAATAAATTTCAAGTTTATTTTCAATCTGGCTTCTCAATCTAAGAATGATACGATGATGAGTTCCTAAAAACTTTTAGTTCGTAGTACTACAAAGTAAACTTAACACATTATTTTTTGCTAGAGATTTCCATTTCATGCAATGTAATGAATATCTAATGATACACCTTTTCGGTTATTTGATTTTTGGTCACCTTAGCTATTTAATTAGTATTATGGACAATTTTACCAAATTTTGAAGACTTGAAGAAGATTTTGTGTCTAACCAATATTGGAATAGTTTAGATCATAGCTTAGTTATCTTGTCCACACAATATGGACAGCCTATACCGAACTTGCACCAAGTGAAAAATCATACTCGAAGTATTAATATAACAAATCTGCTCTCGCTGTTGAACATGAGACACAGCTCACTAAAGTTCTAGATGGTATTATAGAATAAGAAGGTTGTTGAGACTTTGACTGCACTCTGGCATCGCTGAGGGGTTACTCTGACAGATAATCGAAACAACTGGAAGAAGCATGGAACTCAGATTAAAAAAAGTTTTGAAAACCCTCATCCCAGAATGATGTAAAGAAAATGTAATCATTTTATAAAGTAATCTAAGCAATATAAAAAAATCGTTTCAAAATTAATGAATGTTGTAATAGTTATTTATATTACAAGTGGGCTAGAAATATAATTACTGTACGAGTGTGGGCAATTGCAATTGTAATCACACGAGTACAGTAATTATGCTCTAGCCCACGTGTGATATACAGCATTTTATCTACGACTGCTAAAAATTACTAAAAAATCAATTTCTCTAAAAAAGTCTATTTGACATTTATAAAAATATTTTGAAATGATTGTTGACAATTTTGAATTGTCAGTTTCAACAACATGTTTACTCATCTGGAATAAGTGTTTCGAAATTTAAAAGCATAACAATTAATGTTTATAATTTACAAAGTTTCTTTTAGTTTTCGAGATAAACTTTTAGATCAATCATAAATTGTTGAATAACTTCAGCTTAAAAGTCGTTCAACATTACAATCTCATCCTAAAACGAAAATATTCATTATTACTTTATTTATTAGAAAATAATATAAGTTATTATTAATAAATATATACAGTCAAATATGAATATATCTTTAAGATCATCCTAAAAACACCAATATTCATAAAAATTAACTTATTTTAACACAAAACGGTGGTACCAATTTCAAAAGAGCTCCACCAAAAACCCTAACAGGAGTCTTAGTCCAACTAATTAAAAGTTTTTCATCCTTCACGGGACTCCCATTGCCTTTAGCACAATCGTTATAACTCTCCTCAACCAAAATCATCCCCAAAGACTTTTTAATCGGTTCGAAATCCTTAACGTTATTTATTATTCTTTTTCCAAGATGAAAACTTTTGGGATAAACATATCTCGTCGTTTTAGGATCGTCGCCAAAAAGCATATTCAAGAAACCTTTTCCGAAATCTAAAAATCCTTTTGGTCGCCGATTTACGTTGAAATAACCTAAGACTTCCGGTACGTTTTCGTTTGGGTCGAGTTCGGGTGGAGTCAAATCGACTCGAAGTCTTCTCCGGGGGTACGAATAATCAATATACGAACTACGTCTTTGCATATTCAAAGACTGGGTCGGGTCTTCTATGTAGGATGATGATGTTTGTTTTCGACGGAAGAGATCGTTTGGCGGTGGTAGTTCGTATTCTTGATGTTTGTCTAAGGGTGTGGTGGAGATTGAACTTAGGATGAGATTGAAACCGAATATGTCACCTTCAATACCGTCATCTAAGCCTTTCTCGAAATCTGTGTATTCTTGACCTATCACAATATCACCACCTTCGGGGATTGGTATTTGTTGAAGCTAAAATAAAACAAATTAAGTTTGCGATTTTTAATTAAAACATCGTGGTAATTATGAAGTTATTAATTTTCAGAGTTAAGAATGAAATGAAATTGAAAGGATAATAAAATTAATTTTTTATGACCGCAATTTTTAATTAAAATTGTAATTAAAAGTTAATAATTTTAAGAATGTAATTTTCTTTGTTTGGTTTAAAAATGTTCTTCAATGTCAAAGTTAGTCTACGTCCATATTCTTTCTTTTTCAATTTCAAAACAGGACGCAATTTGCAATCAAAGTATGTGAATTGGAACATTACATTGGACTAGTTACGTAAAAGAAAAAATATTTAAAAAGTAGGTCTACGCATCATGACTTTTTTTATCTTCATTAAGTAATGTTCTACTATCCAAAAAAAGATATCTTTAATCTGAATGATGTAATCTTAAAGTAGGAGCAAAACATTCTCTTCTCTAATTTTGGAATGATTTTCTTGACTTACTTCGCTATTAACACCGGATTCTCTTAATTTCCCGTCTATAAATAAAGACCAACTCCCTGAATGGGAATTCCAAGATTGACAAATATGGTACCATTGGTTCTCCACAAAATCGGTAAAAACCGAATAGATTTCTTTGGTTAAAATCTCTAAATTTATTGTTCTTCCTTGATGGTCTATCCATCCTCTTATTAATCGTTCGTGTTCGTTCTCTAAAAAATAAAATAAAATGAATATTTTAAATTGTAAGAGTTTAATTAAAATTATTATAAGTAATAATTGGTTACTAATGTGGAAATTTCAAATTACTTGATTTGACACTTTTTGAAATTATAGCTAAACACTAAAGAGGTGTTTTCTCCATAATGGTTAAGATTTAAGAAAATAAATTTTTTGAGGTTGTAGAGAAACGTTTGAAGTTAGGTTTTACAAAATTTGAAGTTTCTAGGGAGATTAATTCATTTTATATATATTTTTAAAAATTGGTAATTGAGTTTGATTCCTGCTGAAAGTCAGGTTAAAGAAAAAAATTGTTACCTTCAAACTGGTTAAAGTTTAAGAAATGAAACTTTTTGAGGTTATGGAAAAAGAGTGACTTTTTTTAACACTCTGTACATTTGCTATTATAATTGGTTACATAACGTCGCATTTCAGTGCAGTAATATCTACTTTAGCATCATTAACGTTTGATAATCTCCATAACGAGTGATGGTATGCGCATTCTCATTTTCATCTTCCGGGTTCTAACGATACAAATTTCTCAGAAAACGATTGTTAACCGCTGAAATTCCACTTACTTTGAGAAGAATCAAGTAGTAATGCAACATTAGCAATAAAACCTATCCCAAAAACAATTGGAACAATATTATCAGGTATCACAAGAAAAGTTTTTGTTAAAGGCGGTTTCCGAGGTTCAAAATTACGTTTAAGCCATCGTTTAGAAAGCAAAATTAGTGACAATCCTTAGATTTGCTTAATCTGTACGTTTTAATCGCATCTGCAAAGGATTCTACATTTGCACCCTTTGGTTCACTACATCTAAGCATGTTTTTCAAAGATTTACAGGAAATTGTACAATTTGATTCTAGATAACTCCAAAAGATAATTTTGTTCAATCTTATTAAACATTTTCTTTCTTCTTATATTTCAAATATAACTGAGCTGAAGAGTTCCTTCCTGATTCGTCTTAATCTTGTTCAGGGTAACGTTATATATAGTTTATTGTACTTGTTTCATACTTATTAATAGATGTGCAGCGATAGAACGCTTTAGACAACTTTCTTTTCTTTTGCAAAGGAGATAATATATTTGAAGCTATAAGTTCTTATGACAATATTGTGTAGATTTTGTTTCACCCACAAAAATTTTTCACATTTTTTATTATTTCATTAAACAAAGCACATAATTTTTATAGTACATTTGAGCACGAAAGAAGCTATAAAATAATTCAAAATTACGTACATTAGAGGGCTCCCTATATACACATATAGGTCAACAAGTTGCAAAAACTTTTCATTTTGAAATAAAATTTTGCGCAACTTTTACAATAAATAACAAAACTGTTCATTTATTTCTTTATAATAATAATAATTAAAATGAAACTAAAACCAAATCTCAATTAAAATATTAATGTACTCACTAGAGTATGACAATAACGGATGAGAAAACGTAAAATTGCTGCTCTTCAACCACATGCAATAGGTGAACTCTTCTATCGTGGGAACATCAACTGTATATCTTAAAAACTAAAATTAAAAATTATTAGATAGGTTATTAAAATACTTTATTAGTTTAAATCAAAAATAAATTGCTTTCTTTTTCTTGACATAACCGAATAAGAAAATTGTGTTGCACAACTTAATCTTATTTTGGGTACGCCATGGAGGAAGTCCCAAATAAAACAAACCGGTAATCGAAGAATTACGTGTGGTGTTACAAAAAGAAAACAGGAAAACACAAGAAGGTTACAAATCTGTTTTAACTGGGCGTGTTAATGCGTGACCCAAATTTGAAATAAATTAATAATAAAATCATTGATTTGAAACAATTTCTCTGTGAATCTACATAATCCTTCCTACTTGAAATCTCCTTATTTAAGAGTTTTAAGTAACATGGATGAGTAAGGAAACGAAACTGTGATTTCTAAATGAAAATAATAAAACGCGAGTATTCGTATTTTAAATTGAATACATTTTGTACAAGCGAGGTAATTAAAATCTTACAAATTGGTTCGGAACTAAGCCGGGAATACAAACTATGCTTATTTACATCTTTCGCAATACATCTCATAAAATAAGACCACCTATCTCATAAAAACGGATTTCTTTACTTATTAAGTTAAATTTATACTTTAATTAATTAATTTTAAAAAATTACCTGTATATATCCTTTTTGTGTTAAACTAACTTTCATAAGTTGCGTCTCTGGTTTCTTGATTAATTGAGGTATATATTTTGATCCAAATTCGGCGCTAACAATTAATATTAAGTGAAGCCATAATAAGTATGGTTCTATTCTTGTAAAAACTAAAAATGGTATCTTCCTAAAACAAAAAATCTTTGTTTATTAAAGTTTATTAAAAAAAAATTCGTATCATTTAAACAACGATTATAACGGGTCAAATAAAAAAATACAGATCCAACGGTGAGTGTAATTAAGTTCATCTATGCTTAAGCAGCTAGAAGTAGGTTTGAGATGTAAGTAGGTTGGTTAAACTGAAGAATAGGAATTTTCAAATAACACGAATTCAAAAGACACTTTCTGATTAATTTAAAGATAAAAAATTGATCTAAATAATCATTCACTTCAATTAATTCAAAGTTAAGGTTATCAAAGATCAATTTCCTTTAAGATAAAAAATTAACTTTCGCCTTTGATGAGTTTCTTGTTGAAGAAATGAAGAAAGTGGAGATGTTAATAAATCAATAAGAAAAAAATAATGCGTTAAACACATTTTCTTGTCATGCAAATAAATAATTACATATTAACAATGACAAATTAAAAATAATAATCAAAATTACTTACTTAAACATTTTATGTTTTCCTTAATCACCAAAAAGAAATATCTAATTTATCAACCAAATTTTGATTCAACCTACACCATCACTATACTACAAAATATAGAGACTCAGGAGTTTGCCGGTGTACAAAACGCTACTGTGGCTAAATAACGACGCGAAGAACCTTAAGAACCGCACTCCTTCTTCGGCATCAACCGCAACTTCTTGTGTTTAAACCGCTGGCGCCTATGCAACAAGAATTTACCTTAACATGACTTAAACGTTTCCTTTCATTTAACGCAACTCATAATTTTTATTCAATTAATTAATTTAATGATTGATTTAATAATAAATTTAATAACTTAATAGTTTTTCTATTATCGAACGCTTTTAACCTTATATTTCAAAAAATAGCAATAATAAAAGTTTATGTGCCGTTAATAATAAGAAAACCACTTCAATTCTTGATGGCAAAAGCTTTTTTTCACAATGCGAGTTGAGAACGTGCCGTTTAAAGAATTCCGTTACGAGGCTTTGTCGGATGCCATCTGTCGCTGGTTTTAACGCGTTTTCAAAAGGATTACTTCCGTTGATAACCTACATTTTGTGAAATTTGTATGAAATGATAACGGTTGATAACGGAAATTGGATTTTTAATATTTATAAATTTTAAAATAACGTTGACAAAAAAAGTTGTAAGTTAAGAAAATTGAGGGTGAAATTATTTTAAAGAAAAATTCTTATCAAAGTATTTGTGTTATTGGATTGCTTTGTTAATGGAATCCTACAAAACATGACTTGCGGTTTAAATGAGTGATACTACTCTCATCTAATATATCTAATAAGGAAAGTGAATGGGTTTGTGTGTACTTGAAACAAAAATAGAATTTACTTATAATATAATGTCGATTCTGTTATTCCATCTACTTTCAATTAAATTTAATTTGATCAACTGATATCAACACCAGCAAAAAGTCAAGAACTTTAGTGTCTACCAAAAGCTTCAGCGCAGCGCAATCTCATTCCTTTGTTGTGGCTAAGATATCATAAAAAGACTCAGCGTGTTGAGCAAAAATACTTAGTAATCTCGAGTGCCTATATCTTTTAGGAGCCAATTCGTTGTTAGAAGAATCACTAGACCGGCTTATAACACCTTCTTCACGAAGTTTTCATATTCTTCCTCATCAGAAAGAACTTTTTGCTAAATTTTTGCGTTAGATACTAGGTTAACAGTACTTAGACAAAAGATATATTTGTTATTTCAATTCCTTTATTTTCTATTATTAACGACACGTGAACGTATAAGAATGAAGTTTTATGTACTTTATCTAAAGAGCTTTATTGATCTAATACTGCTGTTTTGACAAAAATGTAACTGAAAGCGGTTTTCGTACACAGCGAAATTTAAACGCGAAGTTGCTGAATGCACGGAAAAGCATCGAAGCCGAAAAGCTGATGGTATTTATGGGACTGAAAGCTGCAATTAGTAATTGGGATGTGTCCCAAAAAAACTCACCGGACCAAAGAAAGGTTAACTTCCTGAAATTAATGAGGCTGTCTGCGTACTTTTTCGAGAAAGATGAAAGGCAAGAAGGTAGATACGATTTACTTCGCGAGGAAACGATAAAGGAAACTAGATCATTAAATATTATTTATCCCACAAATGTTAAAGCTAGTAAAGGTTGAGTTGTGGGGTTGTGGATTCATTTTTCGACATTCATATTGATTGTTGTGTACGATAAAAATTACTTTTTCAATGTTGTAATTTGCTCTTGATTGACCTAGAACTCTATAAATGAACTTCCTTTGCCAGCAGAGAAAGCTTTTACGACAAACGCTTGAAGTTTAATCGAATTTTGTCTGCGATGTAAATTTATCTAATTATTAAGCTTGCATCAATTTGTTAAAATTGTTCGAAACTGAAACAAACCCAAACTTTATAAACAATTTATATAGAGTGTTTTTAGTTTATGAGCTTCTACAATTTCCTTCTTTTCGTAGAGAATTAACAATATTTCTGTAAATTTATGTAATGTAAACCTTAAACAATAACATTTCAAAATTAATTTATGTTTTAAAAAGGGGTACATCAAAACATTACAAAACAAAATAAATATAAACAACAAAGAAATTTTTTTTAAAAATAAATAAAGAATTTCTTAGAGACGAAAACAGATTTCGAGACGTTTCCAATTTACTCCCGAGAAAAGGGGTTGATATTGTGCCTATTGTCGCTATGGAAGAGCGGAAAGTTCGCGTTCCTTTGTAACGGGAATATCTGCGTAAAATTGCAAGAACTCACGGAAAAGTAAATCGTTGAACCGAATTCAAAGCTTCGAATGTCTTCGGAACAAAACGAGCTGTTAAATAAAAGGGGGGTTGGGTTAAGTAGGTGGAAATTCAACTCCTACACGCGATTTTATTCAATTTACAAAACGATCTTTGCTTTCTTTTATAATGCTGAATTTTTATATACCTCATTCTTATTTTTTTATAATTTAATTTTTTAATCATTTCTTTACAGGGAAGTGCTGGAAAAGCGGCTCCTTATTACATGGGTTCAACAGCTAGTTTACCAAGAAGTGGATTACTTAGGGCCTATTCACCAGCTGTTACAGCTATTCCCCCTGAACGATTAAAACCTCTTCCAACTGGTACGTACAAAACATTATAAATTTAAAAATTTTAAAAAAATTAATTGTAAAAAAACAGATTTATTTAAATGTTGTTATGTTCACCTTGAATTGATTCAAATAAATAATTAAATTTACCCTTAGAATTGAAAATTGTCTTGTGAAAGCTTTTATAGAGCTTTTTAATTTAAAAATTCACCACAAATTACACTTATTTTATTTTTAGAGAAAGTTGCATGCGATCTCAAAATAGAAATTGATTGTAAATAATAGCTTATTAAAGTATACATTTATAATCAAAAATTTAAAAAAAGAAATGAAAACATTAAAGCACTTTATGCACAAAAGCATGATTAAATACACAAATTTGTTCTAAATTAATTAAATAACGACCGAAAAGTGTTTACGTTTTAGATGTTAGTGGACGATTTTTTTTGCTTTTGAATTGATTTGATTTGTTTTTTTTGATTGATCGATGTTGTGTCATATCCTGGTCATTTTTGTAAAAGGTGCACCCCCGAAACCGCAAAGAGCATATTCCAGTTCAAACAGGTCATCAACGGACGGCGGCCAAAGAAACAGGTTCGCCCCGAATTCGTCCCTGTATACGATACCAGGTGGGTTTCACCACCAAAAAATTTACTAAAACTTAATCAAAGCAGTTAACAAAATTAGAAATTCACTAAAATTATCTTGGATTTCTTCAAATTGGTTATCTTCGTAAATCCAATTTATCCAGATGTGAAATTAGAAACCAAGAAATATTAAAATGTGTTATTTTTGGTGCATCTACCCCAATTTTTCAGTTTTCGATTTTTGTGGTTGGCTGCTCAATTGTGATTCGTAGTGTTTATGTAGACAAAAGTCTTGTTGATGATACAAATGTTGATTTTCTTATTTTAATCGAGGCACTTTTGAATTTTCATTCTCACAAATTATGGTTAAAACGCAGTTTTACTTAATAAGTATACAGATGATCCTGAATTATTAATTAACCCTTTAAACGTTATTAATTAATTAGCAGGATTATTCAGGATCACCTAACTTAACTTATGCAATAATAGTTGCTCAAAATTGAACAAAACTTTTAAATATTTTCAAATTAGCAAATATTGAAAGTTTAATTTATTATATTTCATTTCTATCTGATTTAAATTAGATGGATACATGTCATCGCCTGAAAGAGGTTCAAGATACGAAGATCCATATTATAGTCAATATAGTACAAGATCTGGATCGATAACGCCCGTTATTGATGAAGAAGTCAGGTAAATTAAAAATAAATAAATTAAATAAATTTCTTTTTTTAAAACACTTTTGCACAATTCTTTTCACAAACTTAATTTTTTACCACCAAATCACTTTTTTTCTACGTTCACAATTCACTTCATTCTAGCGACACGGAACTTTTGGACGAATCCTATTCTCTATACGGAGTTAAATTGCCTACAAGTGGTCCAAGAGCTACTCCAAGAACGGGATTTCCACCCGCAGGAGGCGTCCCTTACGACGCCACTAGGTAACGACCACGCAAAAAAATTTAATTAGAATAAACCAACTTGAAAAAAAAATCATCTGTACCTAGAAAGAATGCATCTTCCCTTCTAGAATGAAATACTTCTCGAGATAATTTAATTTAAGCAATAGTTATTTAGATAAAAATCGAACTTGGATGGATTACCAGTAGAAAATTGTTTTAGTTGTAGCTTCGTAGAAAGGAATGATCAATCAAAAAAGTTAGTTATAAGAAAAATTTAAAAATTATTTTTTTTGTTTATAGGATTCGCGTGGAACATATGGAACGCCAATTGGCTAATTTAACCGGTTTGGTTCAAAAAGCTTTAACTCAAGCTCCTCCGAACCTTCAAGTACCAAGTGGGCGTGATAATTATCGAGCTGGTAAGTGATTCAAGTTAAGAATTAATTTATATTGTGGATGATTTAATGTTGAAGCATTAAAAAGGCGTGTGCATTTTTCTTTAGTGCTTTACATAGCTGTGCTATTGAGATTGTTTAGAATATAGGGTAGCTAAAAAAATAAAAAAAAAATTAATAAAAATTATTGGAAAAGAAGGGATTGTTATAACAAAATTAACTAAAATAGGGAAAAAGCTTGATTTGTTTTTAACGCTTAAGACTTTAGTGTGCTAACTACAACGTTCTTCTACAGGGGACGAGTTTGATAAGAACTCGACTTCGAGTTCAACTTCCTGTCCAGGTTTGTACTTAGTAAATGTGTCAGTTTTCAATATTTATATCATTTCAAAAAAATTTGTGTTACCCAAAATAGAAAAAAAAATGTTTTTATTTTTTAAAGAAATAAAAACTAAAAGCATGCTTAGTAAAAAGTTTTTATTTACAATTAAAATCCTTTAGTTGCATAAATATGTTAAAAAAATTATTGAGGGGGTTTTAATTTAAAATAAAATAATATAGGGTGAGTAAGAAATAGTAGAACAACTTTATCAAATTCAAGCAAGTTTATTTAGTAGCTTCAAACGATTTTTGTCGGCTTTAAAAGTTTGTGTTCTACATTCCAAAGGATGTTTCATAACATTTCCCGAGAATTACCTTCAAAACACACCTTAATCACCTAAAAAGTGTTTTTTAAAGTTTAAGATGTTCACATTACGTGTGAAACGAGAAAATAAGGTCAGATAATTGCTCTTGATGGATCCAAACACGGATAAGATTACCGCTATAATTAAGTCACTAGAAGCGAAGAACATTCTTGAACTTTTATACCTCGCACATTTCTTAAAATGGTTTCATAAGTTCAAGGATGAACGATATCCTAAATCCTCTCACTTAAAAGAATTACTATACTTAATCCAAGTTTTCAGGAAACCATTGCGATAGGGACTAAAGTAGATCAAAATCAGATATGTAAATTTTGTACATCGCGACTAACTCTTCTTATAGATATCATAAAATAGGAATTGATGATAACATATTGATTGGTATCTATTTAATTTAGAGGCTGCAATGGAATGCTGTAATCTGTATAACATTTTGAAAAAGGTAAATAAAAATATGTACTTGCAAAAAAGCCAGATATCATTTTGTAGCGTCTAAGTATCTACGCAAAAGTAAAAAACATCGTAACCAAGGTCGAGAAATATTTGATCTTGATAAAACATGGATAAACGTTAGACATCCCAGAACCAAGGTGTGGAAGGATTCGACCGTTGATTTCGTAAGGCAAGTCCTAATGGAATGTTTATTTACACTTCTTTTCAATTCCCCTAGACGAAGCGTTTTCTTATTGCCCACATCGGTAATGAAAATGGATTTTTAAAAGGCTGATGTTTTACTCTCAAAGATCCATCATGAAAAAATGAGGGGATAGGTTTTCGAAAAGTGGTTAGGCCACGTTTTGGAGAAGTCATGGATCCCATACCTTTAGCATTAAAAGCGAAAAGACATCAACATCCACCTATAGAAAAGAAGAAATTCTCGCTTTGCTTAAAAAAAAAAGGATTTAAAGGTACTAGAAAAGGTGTTTAAACTTGAATTACTTTCCAAATCGAAGGAATCGACCTTTTTGTAGAGGGAACATCTCACGAAATTCTTATTGAAGGGCTTGCAAATATAACACTCGATAATACGTTCGATGTAATTCTAGAAGACTCGAGTTTACAATGAAAATGGGTCAAAAAGCTGTTGAGTTCTACTATGATTTGGAGAAAATTTCAGATTTTACAAAGCTGGTTTGTTTACTTTTAAGGTTTACGATTTCATAATCATTTTTGGCAAAGTTCTGATTTCTTCCCATCATGTAGTTGAGTTTGTTTTACGGTTTTGTAGGATAAAAACACTACCTTCTAAAACCCACAATACTCCCAACTGTTTCAATGTACCAATGTACCTATAATAATGGAAATGAGAATCTGTAGGGTACAGCGTTTTTGAGAAAGCAGTGTTTAAGAAGTTAACTGCACACCTCCTGCAACAAAAGATTAATGAGTAAAAGATAATTACGTTGTAATACGACTCTACATCAGCAAGAGAGTTTTCAAGCGATTGCTGAAAGTTGTAAATCTATTGATTTCGATGATCATCATGATAGCTATAATAACAGGGTTCTCTCGGAGAAAATAGATCCTATTACGACCAAAGTGACTATTGAACGATGATATTTGATATTGAGTACGCTAGAAATTCTAATACTAATTCGTCGATTTAGACCAAATACGTGGTAATTAGTTATAGAAATGCACAATTCTGCTGAAATATCTTACAAAGAAGTTTGCTAGTAGAGAATTAGCTGTAATGATATTGGTAATTGTGTAATTGAGAATCTAACAAAAAATTTAATAAATAAGTACATATATATTTAAATAAAAAGTATTTCAATGTAGCATTTTTTTTTCAATGTAGCTATATAAAGAACTACTTCTGTTGTGTACTTTTGTACACTGTTAACGGAATGGGGATGACACTCAATACACTCAAGAGCGAACCTACTCGTTTCCAGTCCTCGATACCAATTGCTGAAATACAATTCCCCCAAGTTAAGGGTACTTTATCTGGTTACACTCGTGTAATGGATTTTCATTTCAGTTCTTATTTCTTTTATACGTCTGTGAATTAATATAAAATATTCCACTCCTACTCTATTAATAGTATGTTTAAGCTTTAAATAAAAATAGTTACGATCTAGATATGTTCTTATCGATTAAAGTTAGATACAAAATTGGGCTATTATTGTATTCTGCAACTGTTTATTTAATTGTAAACAGTAATTGTTGATTGTGCTTTCTGATAAGCATGTTGTAAGCTTGGAAGGAGTAGATTGTCAACAAGTACTTCATTCATAAGGTATTGAACGAGTGCCTTTTCCATCCTTTTGGGCATAAAAACTTTACTTTCCTTCGTAAGCTAGGTATATATTTAAAGCTATAGCACCAGAACTCCATCCTTGCCTGGTGATTTTAAGGGCTTAAAATTAGAAACATCCCACCTAACTATACCGGGTGTAAAAAAATTCCCAAATCGTTAACTCCGTCCCACTATCTTGTTTTTCTCCTTCTGTTGACACTCGAGCACGATGTCGACTAACTGGGATACAGTATATGACGAATAAACACATTCAAATTTGGCAATTAAGTAATTATAATAGATAAGAATTCAAAAAGGTGTGTTCCTGTCCCTTCTCCTATTACATTCTTATAAAGTTTTGTCAATTGCTTGCAATGTTTCAGAAAACATCAATACGACTAGAGATCTAGCAAATAAAATCGTAATCAATTTATCTTAAAAAGCAGTACTTTACTTTGTTGTACTAGATCTTAAATGTTACGAGAATTTGAACATAACGAGAACGACATAACTAATTGTATCAATTTAGGAACACAAATGTGTATTTTAATGCATTTAAAATTTAAAAATTATTATTAATTTGTTAAACCTCAAAAAGTTCTAATTGTTTCTAACTCACTCTATTAAAAATTAAGATAGCATGTTTTTATTTATCTAGAAATTGCATAATTAGTTACACCTTATGATTTATTTTTATTTAAAAACCAAAAAATTACTTCGAAAGCTTCTTTTTTAAAAATAAATTAAATTGGAAATAAAGAACCGTGTAAATGTAACAAAAAATTATGTATATGTTGGCAGATGAATCATTCCATCGATCTGACAACAAAACTCCTAAATTAGGAAAAACTGGCTGTCGTAAGTTTCGATTATTTTTTTTTTAATTTCTTCCTCCTTAATAGATTTTTTTTAATAAAACCAAGTAAGCATGTTATTATGCCTGATTCATCATCTTCTTTCTTAATAACACCGTTTAAGAAATTTAATAACACCTCCCATCTTTCTTAATAACAACATTAATCGATAATTTTTTCAACCTAACTTCTAAAACATCTCAAAGGTCAGTGTTTTTGGTAGAATTAAATAAGCATTAACAAAAAATAAATAAATTAAAAGGAGAAGAAAAAAGATTATCACGGAATCATTTTGTTTGCGGCAAATTGGGTGTAAAATTCGTTTTGTAAATCGCTTTTTGAATTTTACTTATTTTATTTTATTTGTTTTTTTGTATGAGTTGTTTGAAATTTTTTTGTTGGGATTTATTTTGATTTAATTTTTGGATTCGGTGGTGTTTTAACGTTGTGCTTTTTATAGATAAGTCGGTTTCTTTCGAGAAGTCGGTCTCCTTCAGCGATGAACCGCCCGATATGAATTCACCAAAACAACATAGCCCACAACATACAGGTAAATCACGATGTTATTTCCGTTTTTAAAGTAATTAAAGAAATTGCACGATTTTTTTGTATCTCTAACTATTAACCTAATTTATCTTTTAGTTATTAACAAAATATTATTATTTTTATGTATTTTTTGATTTACTAACACCTTTATGTATATAATTATTGTATTTGATTCAATAAATGTTTGAAATACATAAAGTTTTTATGTGTTTTCTTTTAGTTCTTTATATCTTTTTTTTTATTTTTGTATTGGGGATTTTTCGCATGATTTTTTTGGGAATGCACAGTTTTCGACCAAAATAAAAGTCTTTAGTTTTGGCATGCAAATGGAGTAAAACTAACCGGTTTTTCTTGGTTGATGCTTTATTTAGCGGATACTAAACCACCAAAGCCGGCGATAAAATCGTCAACACTCCCAAGGACTTCTTCCCAGGGTAAGATTTCATTTTTCAAACTTCTTTCTAAAACTAAATGTCTTTTTTCTTTCTTAAAAACATATTCCCATAAAAAATGTATTAAATTTCTTAATTTCTTTTAATTAATAGAAAGAGATCGCCTAAAACCAGCTCCTCCGCCGAAACCAGCTTCTTTAAGTCCTGGTCAATATGATGGGCGTCATATCTACCGAGATCTTCAATTAACACCAGAAATGTATAACCAATTAAGAGGTCTCCAAAAGAAAGCTAAGGATTTAAGGGCGGAAGTTCGGAATTTAAGGAGGATGTCTCAAGCTCAAGCCCATTCTGTTCGAGAAACAATAAGAGATACTTTTATTAAAATACGAGCTATGTTACTTGCAGGTGGTGAACAAATTTGGCAAGCAGGTAAAAAAATCATTTATTTAATTCAAATTTTGCAAAACTTAAATTCTTTGTATGTTAGGCATGGATCAAGAACGTGTAAGATTAAGTAGAGAAGAAGATTTATATAAACAAGAAATGTTACGTTTAGAAAAAGATTTAAGTGAATTAGAATCGACAGTTGAAGAATTAAGGGGGAATGTAATAAATCGAAAAACGCGCGTGAATATGTCGGATGTAGAAAATATGGCTTTAATTTTAAGTAAAAGTTCAAAAACTGTTGCGGATTTAAAGCTTCGTTTTCCGAATCTTCAAGATAGTATGAAAAGCTTTTTAAGTTCCGAAATGGAGAAAGTGGTAAGGGAAGAAAAATTTTTAAAAGAAGAACCGGAACGACTCGAAAGCGCACTAAGAAGATGCAAAAAATTAACGGGAACTTTGGTTACTTTAAAGAGGTATTAAATGTTTTATTAGATTTTCATTTTATAACGAAGACACCTTAAAATCTTAAAGAAATCTTTTGACGGATATGTCTTTAGATTGGCAAGCGTACAGGAACAACGATTACCGTGTTCAACAGCTCCGGCTGGAGATGGAAGATTATCACCGACCATCTCAGAAACCCCACCAATAACACCCACTTCCGCTCAACACAGCAAGGTAAAAATTGATTTATAACCAGCACGTTGATGTACCCAGTTTTGGTTTTATTATTTTCTGTTTATTAAATTTGAAAAATTTTTTTACAACCTGCATGCTCAATGGAAAAAATTAAAAACTAAAAAAGTTTTTTTACTAACTAAAATAAAAAAGGATTGATTTTTACCCCATAAATAATTTGTTGAGAAAGTGAAATTGGTAAAAATTGATTCTTGAGTCTAGAAAAAAGCATTTTTCTTCAAATGAACGAAGAATGCGTTTACTATATGGACAAAAAGGTGATATAAGAGGAGCATTTCCAATGTAACCTTTACTATAATAAGACTGTTTTATGTTCTATTTGTTGATTTATTTTATTTCGTTTTTTAAATCCTCCTAATTTAAAATTGGCACTCTTTTTAATGCAAAAAAATTGTTTCTTCACAAAAACAAATCACAATTGGCAATTTAACCCTGTTTCTTTAAAAATTGTTTTCTTCTTCCTTTTATTTTAATGATTAAATGTATGTTAAACCCTCTTTTTACGCCATATAGTGTTGTATAAAAACTTCCAATAACACCCCATTAAAAAAAATTGTTTACTCATTTTTAATATTTCGACACATGTTATGAGTAAGCATTTTTTATTACAAAAAAATCCTTATTTTAATTTTTTAAGTGTTACTATCGACCTCACTAACTATAGTTATAATTTATATTTAAAAATTGATATAAAAAAGGAACAAAAAAATTGATAGGGCCTAATCGAAACGTTGTTTTCTTTCTTTTTTCTCTATATTTGACCATAGTACGGATGGAAATGGAGTGCTAACTTCAAGGAAGCTATAACTAGTCACGAGTAACAGACATACGAAATATTGCTTGCTATATATTTTTTTACTATTGTTACTATATTATTATTATTCTTACATTATTATATGATCGTTTAATGGTATTTCTATCTTTGTTACATTCTCATTCTATACATAACATTATTATTATTGTTGAGCATTCGTTATCTTTGCCTTATATCTTTTTATTTTTATTGTTTTATTATTCTACCGTCTATAAAATGGAAAAAATACAATTTTTTAAATTAATATTTTAACCCTTAAATGTTAGGAGATATTCATGATTTAGTGAATTGTCTAGTGAAGGAAACAACGATGAAAGCAATAAGAGATTTAAAATATTCTTGAAGGTATACTTTCCTACTACGTCACTCAACATCAAACACTCTCTCCATGTTATGTTAACATTGTATATCATAACCAATTGAAATCGGAAAAGAATTGTCCTCAAAACAGTCTAAAATATTTAAATCAGGAGAGGCAACACAACCTCTATTCGTCACTTGGTAATTGACAGGACCAAGTTGTCCTCATCATCATATTGTACTTTAGTTGCATTGTCATTAGGAAACTAACATAATATAGAAGATTTGAATATTCCCTTCCAACTCGACAAGTTATATGCTCTGAATTAGAATCGAACAGATACACTCTTTCTTTGATGTAACTCCACAGATAAAAATTACACGAGGATAAATCTGAAGAACATGGCAGTCATTGAATTGCCGGCTAGAAGTGCGATCTACCTACCTTGTTGATTCCAGCATAAATGCCATGGATCCATAAATTTCATGTATTAACTCAATACGAGAACACTTCTTAAATTATACATTTTGTTCAATAATCTTTGCCCAATGATTTTTCCATGCTGGGAACCATTTTGCTCACTTTTAATGCTTACCATTTATTCGAACCAAAGCTACTAGCTCAAACCAAAGCTGCTCCCAACCCAACCCTAAAAACCTGCTGAATAACAATCAACTGGCAAATGTAACAATCCTTGACATAAAATCTTCTCGGCACTTCTCGTCAGTCTGGAAGCTTCATTTTTATGAAAAATTTCATCTTCAATGTCCGTTTCAATGATGTAAATTAATAGGTAATCCTTAAGAATTCGCAATTAAGTTTGTCTTGTCTTACGATCGAATATTTAACACGTAAGATATTCGATATTGCATAGTAAACAAGAAGGTCGGTCGCACGGCGAGCCATTCAGCTGTTCAACCGTGTGCCCAAACTTGTGCAAAATGTGTAATTCCTCACCACGAATATAGACTCGTGGTTTTCGCTTATGGCACAAATTCCTTGCCACGAGTCGGACTCGTGGTTTTCGCCTTCAGCATAAATTCGTTACCACGAGTCTCACTTGTGTTTCGTTGTCTTTTCCGTCTCTCATTGAACATTTCTCTGGTTAGCTTGTAATTTCGGGTTATTAAATCGTCCTGAATTACTATTTATATTTTATATTTTCAATTACTTTCAATACTTCTCATTTATCAGTTACTCTCAAGACCTCTACAAATCTATATCATGAAACAAAAAGCTTTGATAGAACTAGAGATTAATAGAATATAACTGTTTCGTTGTAAATAACTTCTTCAGAAGTTTTCTAAGGTACACATATACGATGTAATTTCCACTTGCAATTTCATCTGCCTCGTGATTAAATTCCAACACTGTTACAAGTAAACAACCCATCTCTTCCTTTCTCGTTCGAATATCAACTTAAAAGAATGAAACACAGAAAGCTGATGACAACGTGGACGGGTTCGTGTTGCGCACACATTTTCTAATCAATACTCTGTAATTTGATATTACTTCGTTGTCCATTAGTTCAATATTACTTGTTTACTAATATAGTGTGTAATGGTTACTATCTACTCCATGTTGTCATACAAAATGCAATAAGCCAAAATTATTACGTTCAAATACTTCAATATGTATAGTTAACTCCAAAAGTAATGCATTACTTTTGGGCATTACTTTTAGGATTGATTATACTTTTAAAACTTAGCTCAAAGTCTTCAAAACAAGACATTTAAGGGTTTAAATATTTTAAAAGTATTTTTTTTTTATAAATATTATAGACGGAGGATAACAAATATTAATTTATTTAAAAAAAGTCCTCAATTTTTATGAATGATATAGCTTTTTCAAATTTTAACCACCTTGTCCTTATAGTAAGGTCCATTGGAAATGTTTATTAATGGGCCGTAAAATGAAAGAAATAGCCCTCTTACCGCACTATCGCACAAATTTTCATTATTATAGTTAAATAAAATGAGTTAAAGTATACACAGAGCAAGCGCATTAAGTAATTTTCACCTTTTTAAACTTTATTTTAAAATCACCGCTTTAAACAACAAAAATCAAAAAGTATATTAATGGTTATAATAACATTATTAATTTTTATTTTCTTTTCAGTAAATTTATTCGTAGTTAAATAACGTTTATAAGCTTGTGTTTTTTTTATTTTGATGATTATTTATTTTTGTTTTATTTATTTATTATTTTGTATCATTTTTAAAGTAATTTTTTATTATTTTTCTTAATAAATTAAATAATTAATTAAATCTTTGTAGATTTGTTATTATTATTATTATTGATTTATTAATTATGATATATTAATTGTTATTTTTATTTCATGAAATTATTGCGAGCTTTTTGAATTAAAGTAGTCCTCTTACCGCTTAAACGATTTCTTGTTACATTTTTTCCTTGAGTTTTATTTTGAAGCTTATGTTGGAGTATTGAAAAGTATTTAATTTTAGTAGATTTGTTCGAGATTCCTTTTTTTTAAATATTATCAATTCGACTTTTCAACCTTACTATAAGGAGGGATACGTTCGAGTTTTCTTTTGATTTATTTTTCTGTTTCTTTTACTTTTCCAAGATCAGCATGCCATAAAACGTCATCTATTGTGCATCCAAAACGTTTGTGCATTTTCCAACTTTAAATCTGTAACTTATTACGAGAAATTATAAAAGGATTGATTAATTTTTTTGTGCATAATAATAAATTAATTTCAGTTTTAGCACGGCCTGTTTGCTTTCTTGCTTTAGAAAAATACGCATGCTTTTGACCTTTTACTCTATCTCTTCTAGTCTCCTTCAGGTAAATCATTCTTATTTTATTATTTTTTTATTAATTTTTTGTTTTTGTATATTTTCATTTCATTTTTTTGTTGTTTTCATTATATTGATAAATTTACTTTTTGTTTCAATTTCATACAATCATACATAAACAAAAAAATCAAGAGGATGACGCCTCTTTAACAAATCTTTTATGCTATGTTGATGTTATTTCATGTTCCTTAATCTCTAGATTTTTTTCTTTCATGACATCGATGTTATTTATTATTATTACATTAGAGATTTTTCGATTACTCGATTTAGCTTGTTTTAAAGAAATTTCTTTTGTGTAGCCCACTGCCTCACCACGGATGGGGTCGGTCGTCATCGGGGGAGACGCCTCCAACAGCACCGACGGTGCCCAACGTTCGGAGAACGCACTCGACGCTTTGCTAGATGAACTCCAAACGTTTTCAAAACCCCACCAGTCATCAACAACGGTTAACACCCAAGTACCCCAACAAACCGATCAGCCACCCACTCTACCAGCGAAAGGAGTTCATCCCCCAACGATGTCCGAAATTGGACGTAAAGGAAGCATGGACTCCTCCACAATTCTCCCCACGCAAAATCTAACTGTAAGCACTGCAACTGGAAGTTTAAGAAGACTTCATTCGTACCCCAGCGGTTCAGACACCGATAACTCCCCCCCAATTCAACCATTAAGAATACAAGACAAACCTATGAGTGGAAAACCACCTCTCCCAGAACGAAATTCGGAGCTGTTACAGCATATATCTGGGAAAAGAGTCCCACCTCCACCGCCCCCAAGAACTAGTTCGAAATCGCCGTTAGCTTCACCTACATCACCTAGCTTACCCCCAAGATCTAATCAACACCATCAACAACAAGAGAAACCCCAATCTCAATTTGAAACGGCAACGCAAAATCTAGGTTTGGGAACGTTACGAAGAAATGCAAATCGATTACCACAAAATAAAAATTTAGATCGGTCTCAAACTTTACCCAGAAATATCGGTTCAAATCTTCAAATTCAATCAAGCGATACCAGCGATACCAACAACACGATCTCCGCTAGTAATAGTAGCAGCTGTGAAAGCGTTAATTCCCAAGATGGCACTAAAAAGCGTAAAGAAGAATTAGAACAACGTCACCAGGAGTTATTAAAAAAACAAAAAGCCCTTCAAGAGCAATACGCCAGGCTTCAACAATTACAAAGAGGTAATAACACTTTAGCTGTTGTGCCGCCAGCCCCCGATCAACTTTTAAAGAAAACAGGCAGCGAATCTAATTTAATGCAAAAAATGGGCCTTCAATTATCCGCACCACAAATGACCGGATCTTTAACGAATCTTCCAAACACCACCACTTCTTCAACTGGTAAAAACGAAACCGTTTCAACCGCTAATAGTACAGGAGATGAATCCACAGCGAGTTCAACGAGTAGTGCCACAACGACCACTACAAGTAAAGTTTATGAAACTGACATCCTATGACCATCCACCAGTATTTTACAAGGAGTGTGTTAACGCTTGAAAAATGGCTAATATTTACTACCTATTACTATCATATCATTGTATCGTTGAAGAAAGGAAGATGAGTTACAAAAAAGAAATAGTGAGATTGAAGAAGATAAGAGTTAAACGAGGATTAATTGTTGGTACTATTGTTTAATAGGTGTTTTTAGAATATTACAAAAAATATTTCCATGTTAAAAGTAAATCAAGAATTAATTTAAAATTAACACGGAAATGATTAAATGAAAAAGTCATACATCAGAAATCATAATACTTAGAATATAAATTTCTTTGTGTTTATCTAAATTCCAGCTGGGAAAGATTTTGTAATAAAGCGGGATTAATGCTAATAAAAATTTATTTTAATAATATTTAATTTTCGCTTCAGGAATTAATTAGTTAACAAAAACTTCTTTTATAATTATTTCATCATATTCGCTTAAAATGATGTGTTAATAACGTTAATAAACCCAAAAAAATCAATGTCAGATTACCAAATAAATAATCATAGAATAATCGTTGTAACAAAAATAATTTTTTGTTTTTAAACATAAAAGAAATCACAACAACACGTTGAAAATATGCATTGCTCAGTATCTCTTTGTAATTTTATATGTAAAAAAATAACCAAGCAGTTAAGAAAAGAAATAAAAAATAAATAAATAAATAAAAACGTTCAACGAAAATAAAGTAACAAAGTTAAGAAAAAGCAAACAAACCAAAAAATAAAACGTAGGAAATAAACGTTTGTTTAGGGGGAGTTAAATGGTAAAAAAATACATTAATAATTAAAAAAAGGTCGCTTAAACTTTAAAGAAGAAAAAGATGTTTTATTTTGTTAGATGTAGTAGCACATTTTTTATTTTTAAGTTATTAAAAAGAAATAAAAGAAAAGATGATGTAAATATCACCGAAATTATTACACACGACTGTATTGCACACATACACACACTTCATAAATACGAGGAAAAATATAATACATAAGGAGAATAACACCAGCCCCCAAAAAAAAAAATAAATAATAGATTAAAATATAAAAATATTTAAACATAAAAGATTAAATGTTTAGACCAATTTTTTATTTAAAAAAACAGTAATCGGTTTAATTTAATTTAAATATGTGGACTTTTCACATTGAAATATTGCTCAAAATGTATTTGTAGACGTTTAGGTGTCTCTCTATCAAAAATCATCACGCAAAAATATAACTATTTATGAAGAGAAAAAAAGAATAGATGTTCCTTGTACCCTAACACGCCGAGTTATTGTTATTAAAAGTTTTATTAATTATTGAATTATTGATTTAGCAAAGTTATTTATTATAGAATTTATTTATCTCATTTACGAATTGATTATGATGTTTTTCTTTTCATTTATTACTAAATTAGTACTTAAGTAGATCAAAAAAGAATTGAATTAAAATCGTTTATTATTTTTAATTATTTAATTAAACGAAATTAAAAAAAAATCAATTGCTACTCAATTTATCAAATCGCTGTAATCCATTGTCACATTTAAATATGCCAAAAAAGAAAATAAAATAAAATAAAGACTAAAACGAAAAAATAAATACAGTTTCGCTTATAACCGAACGATTTTGTATGTTTTCTTTAAAAACAGAATAAAAAAACACTTAATAATGATAATAATAACATAATGATTGTAAATATATACCGGCTGAATTTATGGTGGCTGCTATGATATTAAAACATCAACAAGATAAATCAACAACAAGAAAGTAAGAAACAAGAAAATAAGAAGAAAACGACAAAACAATTTAGGTGCCAATGTATTTAACTATTGTAATTATTATAATAAATAAATATCAAAATGAAAATAATGATGACTTTTATTCCCCTCCTAATTAATCTAATCTAAACCTAAACAATGACTCATTTTAATTCGTCTAGTTAATTCCATCGAGTGAGAAAGCAAAATTTTTAACAATTTTAAGTCACGAAAAACTAATTTAACAAGTTCGTTTACGTTAGAGAAGTTATTGGAATCGGTCCTATTTATAACCACCAAAATGAAGGAGTTTACACGAACCATCGACGAAAATTTTCCTGTTACATGGCATGAATTTACAAGTAAATCTGGTAGAAAATATTCAATTGGTGATATTCAGGATGAATATAAAGAAATTATTACGAATCATATGGTTTATGGATTAGGTAGAGATGAGCCGTTATGTAAATATTCAAGTAAGTGATTAAAAGTAACACAAAAGTATCAGTAAATATTTAAAATAAAAGATACAATTTTGTGGTAAATTTGAAAGAAAATGTATTGAATATAGATAGATTAGCTGGAACAATTTTGCTCTAAGATGAAAACTTTAGACTATTTGTATTTAACTAATTTTAAAAAGTACCCTCTGGGCACCTCTGAACCCAACCCAAGCCAAGTAAATCCAACCCAACCCATAGAACAATAGTTATTACTGAACAAAAAAACAAAACTTATCACCAGTATGCAAGAGCATCCACGAAAAGATACATTAGCTGCTATCTCCTTGGATATAGAAGTTTTGTTTAATATCTGAAAATAATAATCAAAAAGCTACTCTTGACATAGAGTTGAGATTAACTATATGTTTGAAAAATGAGTCGTATACGATAGCGCGAGCTGTAATATAGGAGCGAGGAACAAGAACCTGCAAAATTCTTCCATTGAAAGTCTTACTTCCATTGCTAGATTGTGCTACAGTAATTATCCCAGTAAACAAGAAACCTCTGTGAAACATTTCAATTTTAACGTACAGTGAATTAAATGAAACATCTTAGAACTACATTTCATATACGTGACAGATACGATTTTTACGAAACGTATCTAAAGATATGTATCAAATACATTTCAGTAGAAATATTTATGAAATATCATTAAAATATGTAGCAGAAACATTTCATTTGAAACATTTCGCTACAAATGTGTCTGAAACATGTCTGGAATATCTTCAGCACCGCCTGTGAACGTATGTACAAACATTAATTAATGTTTGTAAACAGAACTAACCTAAGGTAACATTCCTTCACGGTTTAATTGACAGTTCAAAAGAAAACTTCACGCTATGATTGGCATTACTAATTACTAAAGAAAACTTCACGCTATAATTAATGTTTGTAAACAAAACTAACCTTACGTAACATTCCTTCACGGTTTAATTGGCATTTCAAAAGAAAACTTCACGCTATGATTGGCATTACTAATTACTAAAGAAAACTTCACGCTATAATTAATGTTTGTAAACAGAACTAACCTTACGTAACATTCCTCATGTCTCAAAGCAGTCGTAGAGTTAGATATGTTTCCAGTTAATTTTGTTAAAAAACTGGAAAAATAATCTTCTAAAAGTCTGATAACTATTGTTTGTGATACTTACGTTGGATGAGGTTGATAGCTGGATAAAAGAAATAATGTCGGCCGACTTCGAGACGACGGCCGCCCCAAGTGTCACGAACAATATTTATGGTGGCTGGCGTCTTCAAAGACGGTCAAGATTATTTCTTATATCCAGCTATCAAACACAACCCAACCCAAGTATCACAAACAATAGTTATGGCAGATGGCTGGATATAAGAAATAATCTCGGCTAACTTCGAAGACTACTTGGAGATAGTTGAAAATACTTGGAGCATGAGTATTGTTCATGATACTTGGGTTGGGTTGGGTTGATAGCTGGATATAAGAAATAATCTCGTGGTATTTAAGGCGGCCGAGATTATTTCTTATATCCAGCTCTAAACCCAATCCAATCCAAACCAAGAATTTGACCATTTGGTGCCTTGCCATTTGCGTATCATTAACATTTGTGATAATCTTGAGTTGCACAGGAAAATCTAGAAGTAATCAGCCATCGTATTTGCATTCCAGAATGCTCTTCACTCAAATCACCTAATTTTTCTTGAAAATGACTGAAAAAAGCCGAAAGCGATCCAAATTGCCAGAATATATAGCATTTATTGCTTAATGTCTTCAAGATAGTCTCCCGAATTTTTATTTCTCGTTGTATAATGAACTCATTCCATGGAGATTCTTTAAGTGATATACATTTTTGTCCTAAAAGTCTATTTTCAGATCGAGGCATATAACTGAGATATGTTCCATGTCTTTATTTTCTCAAAAGAACTCTATTCTGGGTTGCATACTCTTGGTTGAGTATGCAATAGGCAACGAATCCAGTTTGTTGATGTTATGGAAAAGTATACATTATAAATATTAAACCAGAATTATGAACAAAATAATTCGTAGAACACTTCTATGATCAATCGAGGTGTTTGTGTTTGGTGTTACTACATTTCTTTCATTGAACGGAAAAGCTAGAAGTCCTGATGCTATTTTAGACAGTCCAAGATCTCTAATCAAATCATCTAGATCATTTTGACTCAGCGATCTACTTTAATGTATTAACTTCATTAATATATTTTTCTTTGTTGCAGATGCGACAACTTTTCCAAGCTTTTTGCTATCATCGATGGAAGCTTGGAGAAGTGTAATCAATCAAAATTTTAGTTTAATTTGTTTGACAACAAATGAATTCGGAGAAATTCAAATTGCAGGAGCAAACTGTTTACACATAGCTAGCGAAAATGAAAAAGCTGCCTTTGAAGATGAAAAGAAAACATCTACAAGTAAAATATTAGAAACATATCTGCATATGGGTAAAATGGCCGATCCGTTTAAGAAGTTGGGAATTCAAGAATGTTTAACTGGAATGGGATTGTATGTTTTACCTGAATTTCGCGGTGAAGGAATCGGAGTTGAATTATTAAAAGCAAGGTATTGATAAAACTTTTTAAATAATTAAAATTATGATATAATCGAGATATGATTTTTAGAGAACCATTAGCTAGAAGTATTGGTTTGAAAGCTACTTGTACAGTTTTTACATCGAAATTTTCACAATTAGCTGCCTCTAGAGCAGGATTTGAAGATCTTTACAGCATCCGTTACGAAGATTTAGCAAAAAATGAAAATTTAGTCTTCCCTGGGATCGAAGAACACACAGAAACAATAAAATTCATGTACAAATTGTATAACTAGTCATAAACTGTTTAAAAATGTAGGTTGAAACAACACAAGACAAATAAAAAGATAATGTGGTAAATAAACCATAATCTTTTCGCTACGCTGTCATATTGGGTCAAAGTCTTATCTAAGCCACTCAAATTTCTAAAAACTGTACATTCCTTCTGATATCAAGCAAATACTAACAACTCGAAACATTTATTTCAAAATGAATGGGTTTAAACGAACGTTAGATTCAAATTTTCCAATAAAATGGCACGAATTCACAAGTAAATCGGGAAAAAATTATGTTATTCAAGATATTCCAGATGAATACAAAGAAATTGTTGCTAATTATATGGTTTATGGGTTTACTAAAGAAGAACCTTTATTTAAATTCAGTTGTAAGTTAAAAATTAAAAGTCAATTAAAAAATAAAAATTTATAAATTTAGATGCATCAACTTTTCCAAATTTTTTAAACGAAGCGGGAAAGTTTTGGAAAAAAGCAGTTTATGAAAACTTGAGTTTAGTTTGTCTAACAACCAACGAAAACGGAGAGATTCAAATAGCAGGGGCTAATTGTATGTACATTGCTAGGGAAGATGAAGAAAAAAGTTATAAAAATGATAATGAAGAAACTTCTTCAACACTTAAAGTACTTAAAACTCATGTGTATATGGGTAAAAAGGCAGATGCGTTTGCAAGGTTAAATATTAAGGAGTATATGAAAGGTATGGGATTATATGTCTTACCGGAATTTCGTGGAGAAGGAATTGGAATTGAATTATTAAAAGCTAGGTATAATATTGTATATTAATAAAATGAGTAGGAATAATTTTAATGTTTTAGGGAACCTTTGTGTACACATTTAGATTTGAAAGCATCTTGTACAGTTTTTACTTCAAACTTTTCACAAAATTCTGCCGTAAAAGCAGGATTTAAAGATCTTTATGTGATAAGTTATGAAGATTTGGCACAAGTAAATGAAGAACTTGTATTTCCAGGTATAGAAACCCATACAAAATCGATTAAATTTATGTATAAATTATACAATTAAAATTTATTACAATCCATGTATAAAATATTTACAAAAAAACTTTCAAATGATTTAAAATGTCATCACCACAATTAAAATAAAACACATTACATTTTATATAATAAATTTTTCCACTAGAATCAATAGGTTTATGTTGTTTAATAGACCTAATTGAACTTGCACATTTATAATTTTCACGAACACAAGCCAAATCACTTTTTTTAAGTCTTAAAATAGGGCAAATATCATTAAAACCATCCCCAAAATAAATAATTTTATCATAAATAACTCCATTCTTCTCCTGAGCCTCTAAATATTCCTCCATAATCCTTCCTTTACACAAATTCTTCGTACTTAAATTACAATCAGTTTGCAAATGATACATTTCAATATTTAACAAACCATTTTCGTCAAAATGAGCTGGATTTGTAAAAACACCATCAACACAACTTTCCAATTTGTATTTTTTTAACCAAGTATTAATAAAATACGAATTTGAATCGCTTACAATAATACTATCAGTATTATAATCTCTTTTTAAACACATCAACAATCCATCCATTCCATTTAAAGGCAAAATACCTTCAATAATTTCCTTCATAACGCTTTCACCCACTTTTCTTGCATGTAACAATTTAAAAATTCCTTGCATATAGGCAGTCCACCCATCACTTTTATACTGTTCCTTAACGTTATTGGGAATATCATCAGTTGGAATTAAATCCCTAATTACGATGTCGGAATTTAAATCGATAATTGTATGATCAAAATCGAAAATAGCCAGGTTTTTTTGGGACATCTGAAACGATGTTGAAAAGTAACGAGCATTTTTAACATAACGAAATGTATTACAACAACAAAACGAAACAAAACGTGTTAACATTATATTTAGGAAACGTACCGTACGAAAAAAATTAAACGTGTCCCCCTGGTAGATCAGTTAAAATAAATTATCTAATATCGCCGGTTGTAAATTGTTAAGAGTGACGTTTGCATAACCTCAAAATAAAAAAGAATTATCGATTTTTCCGACACCGTAAGCGGGATCAATACGTTTTAAATAAATTTTACGGCGTAAACTTACTTGTTATTCAATCATCTTTATCTTGTGTCCAATTTTATTGATGATAAAAATTAAAAATAGGAGATAAAAAGTAATTTTTAAACAATTTTTGAGAAGAATTCTGTTTTATCGACTTATAAATTAAAGAAATCTGTTTTTGACATAAGTTATTTGAATTAAAATTTATAAAATATTTATTAGAAAGTTATTAACTCTTAAATTACAACGTGAGATCTTCTAAAGATCCTTCAAAAGTGTGGAATTAGTTTAAAATATAACGTTTGTTAAAGTTTAAAAAAAATCTAACCTATAAAATTGAACTGTAAACAAACATCAAAAATGATACTTTTAACATTAAAGTCAAAACACCTCGTTTCTTGAAAATCCAACAAATTTTTTAAATTATAAATCAAAATTATTAAAAAAAAACGTGATAAGAAAATTTATAGGTTAAAATGTGGTTATTGCAAAGGTTCACTGCTTTATTACGTGTCAATTACAACGCCCGACGACTATATACGTACATTTACGCGATGGATAAAGCGTATTTAAGACATTCCGTTGATAAAACACAGTTTGATATTTCGTTTCATTATTATAATGCAGAATTAAGAGTGGACAGGCAGTTTAATTTTACCAGAAACTTAAACGAACCAATTAGTGCATTTCTAACACGAGTTATAGGAAATTTCGATAAAATTGTAAATAAAAAGAAAAAGAAGAAAAAAGGGCTAGAACCAGAAGAAACTCCTGAAGTACCCAACAAAATTGAAGCAGTTTTAATAGAAAATAATAAAATTATTGATCAAACAACAATTTGTGATCAAGTTTTTCAAGGTGGACGTAACATAACCTTAAAATTAAATGAGAAATTGTATAAAGTTATAATCAATTCACCGTATATTAATGGGTTGGGATTACCGAGCTCTATGTTAGCTAATTTTCCTGTTTATCCAAATAAATTTGATGCTGTTAATACAAATAAAGAGCTGTGTGAGTACACTTGGAGTGTTTCGAGAGATAAAGAAAGTTGGAGAGAGGTTGGAACGGGGTTTATGTACACACCTACAAATAATGATATTAATTCTTTTTTAAAACTTACATGTTTACCTAAAAATGAACATGATGAAGGACCTATAGCACAAGTTATAGCTGATGTACCTGTTGATGCAAGCCCGGGTAATTGTCCTTTTGAGTATAGACATGTTTTTACAGAGAATAAATGTAAAAATGATGAGTAAGTATTAATAATTATTTAAAAATGTTTAATAGGGAAAAATTCAAGAATCATATGGCTTAAAAATCGATGATTTTTTTTTAATTGATGTGTAATGACCCAAAAGACATGTTAAAAACATAAAGAAAGCGTGGAAAAGTGTGGAACATGCTGAAAAATCAAATTAAAGTGACGTCACGTTTTGTGATGCAAGGCTAAAATCGAATGTTTTTAGTTCTAGGCCTAGTATTAGTTCTAGTTTTAGAGCAATAAAAAAAAATGCAAAATAGTGCTATCTTATAAAGTCCCTAGATTATCAAAGTACCGCAGTTTGCCGCCATTTTGGCTTGAAAGTTAAGCGGGAAGTTTAAAACTATGTCGTTCTGTTGATAAAATTACGCCAAATTTCCTTTCTTTCCTTTTCTCATGGTACTCTGAAGAGTCGAAAGCTGTTCTTACTGCTATTTTTGCAACTCCAAAGGCAACAAGATGGTATTATTTTTGTGAATAAGTGGTAACATGCACTGACAAGCTGACAAACCGCCATTTTGGCTCGAATATTTCTAGTTCTAAGTCTAGTGTCAGTTCTAGTTTTACACTATCACTAGAACTAACACAAGACCTAGAACTAGAATCATTCGGGTGTAGCCGTCTTGAGAGACGTGCGGCTAAATCCGAATGTTTCTAGTTCTAGGTCTAGTGATAGCATTAGTGCAATACTAGAACTAACCCAAGACCTAGAACTAGAATCATTCGGGTTTAGCCGTCTTGAGAGACGTGCGGCTAAACCCGAATCCTTCTAGCTCTAGTGTTAGTTCTAGTTTTACACTAACACTATCATTAGAACTAACACAAAACCCAGAACTAGAATCATTTGGGTGTAGCTGTCTTGAAAGACGTGCGGCCAATCCCGAATGTTTCTAGTTCTAGGTCTAGTGTTAGTTCCAGTTTTACACTATCACTAGAAACATTCGGGTTTAGCTGCACGTCTCTCAAGGATCTTGTGTTACTTCTTATGATAGTGTAAAATTAGAACTAACACTAGACTTAGAACTAGAAACATTCGGGTTTAGCCGCACGTCTCTCAAGACGGCTAAACCCGAATGATTCTAGTTCTAGGTCTTGTGTTAGTTCTAGTGATAGTGTTAGTGATAGAATTAACACTACACCTACAACTAGAAACAATCGGATTTAGCCGCACATCTTTCAAGACAGTTAAACCCAAATGATTCTGGTTCTAGATCTTATGTTAGTTCTAGTGATAGTGTTAGTGTAAAACTAGAACCTAGAACTAAAAAGTATTGGGTTTAACCCAACCACAAAAAGTGACGTCACGTCGAAACTTTAAAGTGATTTTTCGGTAAGTTTTACACTTTTCCGCACTTTGTTTTATTTGTAACGTCTTACTTTAGTAATTTCCCGTCGATTAAAAAAAATTGTCGATTTTTAACCGACATGACGACTCTTAAATTATACCTTTATTATTAATAAATTTCTTTAAATAGATTCCGAATTGTTACTTATAACATCTTAGCGGATCTTTATTGTGACTCTGTATTTACAAGAACAGTTTTACATCCTTATTGCCCACCATACGCTTTAAACATCGACTACAGAAAACAATTGATAATAAAAGAATTATTGGGTTATAACAGTGATATAATTTGTTTACAAGAAGTGGATAAGAAGGTTTATAATTACGATTTAACATCACTTTTCTCAATGTTAAATTATGGATCGGTGTTTTCTTTGAAAGGAAATTCAGTAGCGGAAGGTTTGGCTTGTTTTTACGATAAATCACGTTTTGAGTAAGTTGATATAAACTAAGGCGGTGTTTTTTACGTATATAAATAGATTTTTAGAATCGAGCTCGATAATTTTGGCCGAACAGCTTGAAAAATTACAAATATTTTTTAATATCGCTGAAAAAGTGGCTCAAAATGAACGATTATTGAAGAGAATTTTACAAAGAACCACTGCACTACAAATTGTTGTTTTAAAAAGTATTGAAACTGGAAATATTGTGTTGATTGGGAATACACATTTGTATTTTCATCCAGATTCGGATCATATAAGATTGATTCAAGGTGCTTTATGTATTCAATACATACAATTTATGTATGCTAAATTAAAAGAAAGGGTGCGTTATTTATTTTGGAAGGAATTATTTTTGTAATTTTGTGTTATTTTTAGTTTGGGGAAGAATTAATAAACATAGTTTTTTGTGGCGATTTTAATAGCATTCCACAATGTGGAATATATCAACTATACACAACAGGATTCGTTCCTGAAAATTTTATTGATTTTAAAAGCAGTATGTTAAATTTTTTTGACATTAAGTCAAATTTTACAAATTTTTTTTAGATGAAGACGAAGCAATAACAGGATTAGATTTAAAACAACCGTTTTCTTTGGCAAGCGCTTGCGGAACTCCAGCATACACAAATTTCACAAAAGATTTTCAAGATTGCTTGGATTACATTTACTATGATACGAGGAAATTGAGCGTTGTAAAAAGTATCCCACTCCCCACCAAAGAAGAATTGACACAAAACGTTGCTCTACCAAGCATTGTATTTCCATCGGACCATTTACCATTAATAGCTGATGTAAAATTTATAAACGTTTTGCGATAAAAAAATAAATTAATTAAACAAAATTTATGTTTTGAGTGATTTCTCATCTTATCAAAAGTTTTTATAGAAAAAATGAGTTAATTAAAGAAGGGATTAATTATGATTTAATTGGATGTGGTTAAACTGCAGTTAATTAATAACAAAAAAATCGTAATTTCTCATTTAAGTTCATGTAAAAATTATGATTAACTTATTTTATCCCAAAGAAGTTGTTTATAAATGGTTTTAGACACCATTTAATTGATCAGCAAATTATCTGCGAAGATGTTCGGTTATAGTTAATAAAAATCGAATTAAAATTTATTAATTAAGTTAAAATTAAACCATAATTAGTTAATAAATTCTATGTAATCAAAAACCTGGATAGATACATCAATATTTTTTGATTACAAAACTTTTTCAATTTTTTGATTCATAGTTTTCAGTATAATCAAGACAATCTACTACAGACAATTAGAAAAACAGAAATGCGCATAAACTGGAAAAATACTAATACCTTGGAAAGAAAGCCTTAAAATTCAAATATTTAAGGAGGCAAAGACAGCCCAACAACTACAGTGATATCACTCTCCTAAGTGCTGTTCTAAAACTGATCACAAAAACTCTGGCAGAAGAAGTTGCCAAGATTGGCATAAATGAGGAACAACTATTTTTTAGACAAAACAGATCCATAAGTGATGGAATATTCATACTGAGACAAATAGCAGAAAAAAGCATCAAACATAACAAACCCGCGGTCATGTGTTTTATGGATCTCACGTAAACATTCGATTAACTGACCTATTGGGACTTCTCAAAATCCGTGTTTAACTTAGTCATGGACGAAATAATTAACGAAGATAAACCCCAACAACTTCCATGGTGGCACTGATTACAAAAACTCTGGCAGAAGAAATTTCCAAGACTGGCATAAATGAGGAACAACAAGGTTTTAAACAAAACAGACCCACAATTGGTGCAAAATATTCATACTGATATATTTTCGCCATAAATGAAATTTATTTAATTCATTAACGTTAGATTGAAATTTCGAGATGCTGATAACTTTACATTTATGATGTTTTGTCGGATTATAGTGGACATTAAATTTCCAATCAAATCCACTGAAAAACGAAATAATTTCCTGATATTTTTTTATTGTTGCACTTAAATTTCTGGGATAACGTTAAATATAAAAATAAAATAAAGTAAAATAATGGGATAACATTAAAACGTTAAGTAATTAAAACGTTTAATGTCGTGTAGTTATATCTTTTACCAATATCTACCAATTTTCGAAAAACGTTTTTTTTTTATTAAGCGATGTCAATTTCCTTAATAACATTTTTAATCGTGACGATTAAATGATGAAGATAAGATTGGTCTATCAAGATTTGATTGGATGATTGACCGGGGAAAACATAGTTAAATCTGAGTACGTAATTTCTTTAACAATAATGACCGGTACACTTAAGATAAAATGTTATGATTTTATTTGGAGAATTAAATAACACCGGGTCAACAACGTACTTAGTTTGTTAGATGTTAAGCAATAGAATAATACGAGTAATAAGAGTTTAAAAGCAAAGAACGGGAATACGTCTATGGCACGTAGTTCCCTCAATAACCGCCAGCGGCGTCAAGCGCCAATTTTGTTCGACCGACGAACGCCAATGCCTTATGCCTAGCATTGCTAGCCAAAGCGCAGCCGGTTTCTTCAGTTGCTCTCAACACCGCGTCGGGGTTATGTCGTTCGGTTCGTTAACGCAAAATTATTTTATTTCCACGGATATACAACGTTCGTGGGTAAATTATAACTTAAAGTGATGTGGATTTTCTAGTTTTTATCTTTGAAATAAAAAAATAATAACCCTTCGTTATGGCTTTAAAAGAAATAGTACTAGTTTTTGTATTTTTCTTCTTCGGCGCTTCGTTGGGTTACCAACACGAGACCAGAATATCCGATCAGGACGACATTATACCTCACCATGACAAATGCCAGGAGATAACAGTGCCTTTTTGCAAGGATATCGCTTATAACACAACGATAATGCCTAATATATTAAATCATCAAAGACAAGAAGATGCCGGATTGGATGTACACCAATATTTTCCTTTGGTGAAGGTGAAGTGTAGCCCGGATTTACAGTTCTTCTTGTGTTCGGTGTATATTCCGGTGTGTACGATTTTGGATAGACCCCTTCCCCCATGTCGGTCCCTTTGCATTTCTGCGAAGAATGGTTGTGAAGTTATAATGAAAAGGTTCGGTTTTGACTGGCCCGAGAACTTGGATTGTGCACAATACCCCGAAGGACAGGATATAGACGGCGTGATGTGCGTTGGCGAGAACAAAACCTCGGATGCGACCACATCTGCTCCTTCGGGCGTACACATCCATCAACCAGACCCACCTTTTAGAAGTATTCATGGTAGAGATTACGGATTCGTTTGCCCTGCACAATTTAAAGTAGCAAAGAATTTAGAATATTCACTAAAAGTTGGTGAAAAAGTTGAAAAAGATTGTGGGGCACCATGTCATATGATGTTCTTCAGTGAAAATGAAAGAAAATTTTCAAAAGTTTGGGTCGGAACTTGGGCCGTTTTATGTGCAGCTAGTTGTCTATTTACAGTTTGCACTTTTTTGATAGATACCGATAGATTTCGGTATCCAGAACGACCGATAATTTTTTTATCGGTGTGCTATTTGATGGTCGCTATGGCTTATGTTGTGGGTTTCCTCGTGGGCGATTCTATTTCTTGTAGGGATCCGTTTCCAGCTCAAGTGGGAATTCAAACAGTCAGCACCATCACGCAGGGTACAAAATACGAACTTTGTACGATACTGTTTATGGTGTTGTACTTCTTCAGTATGGCTTCGAGCATTTGGTGGGTAGTATTGACTTTAACGTGGTTCTTAGCAGCCGGACTCAAGTGGGGTCATGAAGCCATAGAAGCAAACTCGCAATACTTCCATTTAGCCGCTTGGGCTGTACCGGCAATTAAGACCATCACGATCTTGGCCATGGGAAAAGTTGAAGGTAGGTAATGATTTTCAATTAAATCCAGAAATATTTCCAAAACCAATTTTGCGTTAACTTGCATCGCTTTAATAGGAATATGTTCATCCTCGACTTCATCTTATTTGACTGTAACGTACTGAAGCATTACTGAAAACTTAATAACCTTTCGACGGTTAGATTATAATGTCCGTAGTTTCCCGCTGTGTAATTAGATATAATATTGCGTACTCATACGAGCAATTTCATATTTCACGTTCCTTGATACGATCTGTTATCTGAAATGGCATATCTACACGTTATTCTTTGTTGAAAAGGTACTACCACGCCTTTTTCGTCTTGATCGATTTAATTTATTTTAATAACCTTGGTAAAAATTATGATTTTAGGCATTTATATTCAAGTGTTTTATTTTTATTAATAACTTCGGTAAGATAACAAAGAAAAATTAACTTTTCATTGTTAGTGTTGCCAAGTTCACAAAACCAGATCAATATGTATACGTGCAAAGAAATCTTTCAAATCGCGTAAAACTTTTTAAATGTTAAGTTTTACGATTTTCTGAAAAGTCAAGAAGAAAAATTAAAATCGTATCTAAATATGTTTAAGGTTCTGCCAGCTCATAAATCACGATTAGATACGGAATAAGCTTGATGTAGTAACTTTACCGAATTTTATCTGTCAACAGTGTTCGGGGTGTTGATTGTGGTGAGGTTATAGCTGTTTTCTTAGAAACGAGTTGCAATCGAGATTGATAAGGAAAAAACTTTGAGGTGGGGAAATTTTATTTTCCATGAGCAATATAGATTATAGTCAAGGTCACCAGCAACCGAGGCTCTACAATTTTAATATTGTTGAGCACAACACCAACAGTGTATCTAACATCATCTAATTTTATGCCCTTGATCTATAAACAATATTATATACCTAGGCTATGAACTTTTATCTTTAATACGTTATAGAGATATTAGCAGAGGAACCGAAGCTCATAATTAAACAATTTTACGATCAATTTCTGTGCAATAATTGTTTGTAGCTTTGATGTTGACTTTTCTCTTTCATAATAGATTATTGCTTGCGGTCGAGGTGGTACAATCTAGGCCGTCAACTCAGGCGAGGTTACACATTTTTTTTTTTGACAGTTGTTATTTTGTTGAATAACTATGTGACCTCATTTTCGAAGTCAAGTGATACTCTTCATTTTATCGATCCTTCATTATCAGTCATATTTTTTTGTTTTGCAACTCAAATTATCATGACAGGATCATATTTGTAGTTGTATAGAATGTTTGCATTGGATAACTTTCCAGACTTTGATCCAAATAACTATAATGCACATTTGCTCAAAACTGTTTATAGAAAAAAGTTGAACTTTACGATGAGCGAACGGTAAATGCACGGGCACGAAAGGAAAGTTTAAAAAAAGTTCTCTTCCATACGATCTCCATTTAATGGCAACGATCAGATTAGATATATTGATAAATTATTCATGATTAAGTGTCATCTAAAATTCAGATTGATTTGATTTGAATAATCTCTTTTTATGTTTTAGTTCGAGTTCTCATCAATGATTTTCGAGAAATGATTTAGTACATTTTAGACCTTTTACCGTTACTTAAGATGTATTGTACCGATGCTTAAGTATTGTTGGGTTTGAATGAAATCAAATCTCCTAGATATTTTTGCTGTGGGTACAGATTGGTCTAAAGGCAAATTGTAACGTCTGGTAGTTTTTCAGTATTCATGTTGTTACTGCCAGGAATTCCTGATCTATATTAAAACGGTAGTTCAGATAAATTGGATAATTAAAGGATGTCGGCTAATACCGAGAGAGTTCCTTGCATAATTCATTAATCTATTAACGAAAAATCCAAAGAACATCTAAGGATAAACTATAAAAAGAGCAGTATGAAATACTTAATTGAAATATAGACTGGGTAGTTATTAATATCTTGAACTGGCTATTTTTAAAACTTTTTTTATAATTTAGTTCCTATTTTTGAGTAAATAAATGAATATCAATATCAACGTCGATATTGAATCTATGTATGATTCAGTTTCAAATTGATGTCCACTACAATCACAAAATTAATTGGTAATGCGTTCCCTCTTTGGATATTGTATTACACGAGAACTCTTGGCAGTTGCTTTAGACTACATTACCACTCACTCAGGCCCTTCATATTTAATCTAATAATGGATAAAATAATAGAAAACCTTCCCAGAACAGCTAGATTCAAAATCTTCAACATTCCCGAAAGCAAAATCAACACCAGATACAAGCAAGAGTCTACAAATGCTGAGAATAGTCGAGATGAAAACACTAAGAAGGCAAAACTCTACACGACAAAGCACGGAATGAAGATATCAGATAACAATTTCTCCGTTTTCCATTCTCTTATAGAAATGGTCCGAACATTCACAGACGAAACAGGCATGATTTGACCTGTATTTTCAACTATCATTCTAAAACCTGACTGAATGTTTAAAAGCATAAATCTCAAAGCTTAGGTTCTTTAAATTATTATATCTTAAATGGAAATTTAGTTTCCAGAGTGATAACGTATCCATTCTATGCATACTCTACTAAAGTAAGTTTTAGAAGTTCCAAGCACGTTTCTGTCTATTATAGCTTGTTGCTTGTGGAGAAGTAGGTCAAACATATCTACTCCGTTTTTTTTACCAAATGAATAACTTTGGTGTTAACATGGTTTTTATAGTTGTCTACTTAGGATTAACAGCACTTTATTATTCAATGCATAGTTTACGTGCCCTAAATAAATAAAAGTAAATTTGGATTCTTTTATTGTACTTGTACATTTTTAACTATATCTTATTCAATTCTATTTTGCTCTTAAGTACCTTGGTCTCCATAACCGGTCTGATATCCTATGCCATTGCATGTCTATATTCAGTTATACCTGTCAACTAAAATCTAAGTGTGAATGTCATTTCTAATATGGAAGAAGAATTTGTTCGTGTTACGTTGGATATTAATAATCGTCTAAATCAGGTTATATCAGATTTTAATATGCTTGGTGTCCCAGCGTAATTAACTCCTTTAGTCGTTCTTAAAGACCATTTTCATAACTTTCAATTAAAACTGTTTATCAGTGTTAAAGAGTTAATAAATTAGGTTTGAAAACTTTAAATACATGGGTAATCTAGAAAATTATTCTGGTAGTAATTATCTTATTATTTATGGTGACTTTGAGTATAAAAATAAGAAAACCATCGACGTGTTGGTTAGGTACTGTCAATTTTTAATTACTGACTTGAGTTGATCCATGTGTGATATCACGAGGTTGACATTTTGCTCAGGAATTCACTCCGATTTTGTTTAACTTTTCAAAAAAAAAATGTTGATACTTTACGTTTTAATATTCTGTCGTTAATGCATATCTAGTCATATCTGATCTAGCTCGTGTGTAATCTGCTGTTCACAAGATTCCATATTTGGACATCAACCTTTATTTCACCTACACTCTTAATTTACATCTTCCCATTAAATATTGTACGTCTCTTGTATGGCGAAGACATTGAGCTTTCATCCTAGCAACTTTTTAATAGCTCAAGAAAAGATTAAAGAAGATTTAAATTCTCTTATCAATCACACATCTAGACACTATCGCTCAATTAACTCTTCCAAGTCTTGAATCGTTGTTTTTGGGTGCGGTAGCTCAGCAGATAATGTTTCCTGGGGTATCTGATCTCATCATGCTCAACTCCCAATTGCAAATCAGAGGATATGTTGATAGTCTTTTAAATGTACATTCCTGTATTCATTTATAAACGCGGTGGTACTCTTAATCTTTATGGGACTCGAGTATCTAAAGAGACCAAAACTCGGCCTTCGTTTTATTTATGACTTTAAAAAATCTGACCGCATTTCGCACACGTTTCGTTGGGTTACTCGCTACACTCAACGCGTCTTTACCATAAATTATTTATTCATAAAATTCGTCTTTACGTATATAATTAAATTTGCTTTCCCGTTGACATTCATTATCTTACAGTAGTACACGGCAAAGTACTTAAAACCAAATAATTAACATAAGCTACGAAATAGAATTACATTATATGCTGAAATAAAAATAAGTGATCTAGACGCAGCTTTAAGGGCGTGTTTAAATGCTAATGATATTAACAACCTCGCCAAAGTTAATATTTCACATCAGAGATCGGGAGTAGAGAAATCTCGAGAAGAATTTGACACAAGAAACCAACCCAACCCAACCCATCATCAACAATTTTACATGTGCAGAAATGCAAGCTAAATTAACCAAGTTACTGAAAAATACAATATCCTTGACCGAAATAATATTTTAAAAAAATTAGATTTCAAATTGATTAGGTTTATTTAACGATAATTTATCTAAATCTATTTAAAATTTTTCAGGAGTATTATTATTTCTTGAAAATACGATTACTGTTGATCATGTCTGACCACCATGCCTTGAAATTAACTATAATATAGCGCATGTTGAGTCGCAATTCATGCGTAACACGAACGAACCAAGGGATATTAACTCCTTAGATGCCGCGCATAGTTCACAAATAAAAGAAAATGTCGATGAGGAAGTTATTTGTAAATTTACGGTGACGTTAATGTCTCAAATTTTAAAGCAATCTCAATGAAAATTAACAAAAAGTATAATAAGTATTTCATTTTTAATTAATGATGAATTAAAAAAAATTATCAAGAACATGTGTGAAATGTGGTTAAGACCGATAAAAACGTTTCCTTGAATTGTTTGTTTCTTTGGTAATGTTTAAACACATTCCTTTATCGTTATCCGCGTACGATGTTTTGAAAACATAAAAATGAATCATGTTGTAGTGATTCATACTACTGCGTTCTTACATTTTATTTTTGAATCCAAATTTAGCGGGAAAAATATTTTCGATCGTGCCAAAATAAATACTATTGCGTATGTTTTTTTTGAAATATAGTAAAGCTTCGATATAACAACTTAATACAGGTCTTCAGACGCATATTCGGCTAAACGCGAATATTTCTA